AACCTGTATAAGAAATGTTGTATCTTTGGTGAAATTCATTCAAACCCTTTTCAGAAACTTTTCATTTTCTTCATGCACTCTTGTTTTGCATTGTTTTTCTCTTTTGGTTTCACATGTGTTCTTATCGATGATAATATATAAGGAGTATTCTTTTATTAGTGTTACTTTTTTCACTCGAGCAATTTGGATATCATTTCAAGGACAGGGAAGACTTTACTTGCCAAGACCTTGGCACGATTGGTGAATGTTCCATTTGTAATAGCAGATGCCACTACACTTACTCAGGCGAGTCTTCATTTTATCATCCTATTGGACATATAAAACCATTAATTATTGGTTTTCTTTTTTAATTTCCACTTGTCTTGCTTTCGTGCTGAACCTTAATTTGTATTCCTGTAACAGTGTGTAATTTATCAAAAATATTTTAGACTTATTACTGTTTATTCTGTATGCAGGCAGGATATGTCGGGGAAGATGTGGAATCCATTTTATATAAACTGCTCATGGTGACTGTTGCATGGCCTATTCTATCTTGTTCCATTTATTTACTGTTCAATGCCGAATTTGTTTCTGATTGATTAATGCTTCTGGGGTGACTTCATTTAGGTTGCTGATTATAATGTGCAAGCTGCTCAGCAAGGCATAGTTTATATAGATGAAGTTGACAAGATAACGAAGAAGGTTACTGTTACAAAATTGGTCGTGAAACTCTTGTTCATATAGTCTTCTATGAAGTTTAACTGATTACTCTAACTATTCACTTACAGGCCAAGAGCCTTAACATCAGTAGGGATGTTTCCGGGGAGGGTGTCCAGCAGGCATTATTGAAAATGCTTGAAGGAACAGTAAGTGCCATATTCGTTAGTATTGAATAATTATATTCTGTATCATTCACGAACTATTACCATGGAAGATGGGGTGTGGTTCTTTCCCCTTCCATGTCACTCACGGGATTCCCTCTTAATATCTCAAGGCTAACTGAACAGATAATCATATTTAGTAGGGCAGTTTGTTTGAGTTTTATATAACTTTCTATTGCAGATTGTTAATGTCCCTGAGAAGGGAGCCCGGAAGCACCCTCGAGGTGACAATATTCAGGTACTATCAACTTATAATAGAGTTATTTTTACAAGTTTTCTCATTTCATTTATTCTGCTGTTCAAGATCAACTTAGAAGATCATATTGGATCCATCTCAAGAGATCTACCATTCACTGCAGTGTTTTTTTTTTTTTTTTTTTGGGTTTTGATAGATTGACACAAAAGATATTCTCTTCATATGTGGTGGTGCCTTTATTGATTTGGAGAAAACAATCTCAGAAAGGTCGTACTTTTGTTTCATTCTCTCGTCCCGTCTTTATGGTGGTATTATTCTTGGTTATTAGACATCTTATTATATCTCCTTGTCATGTTTTCAGATGTCAAGATTCATCTATTGGCTTTGGGTCACCAGTTCGAGCTAACATGAGAACTGGTGGGGTTACCAGTGCTACTGTTACATCGTCTTTATTGGAGACAGTAAGTTCTCTAAATAAATGTACGGAGTAATGGGCCCACATTACTACATTACTACATTAGTAAATTAGTATTTCTTTCATGTGTTACTTTAATATTGGATGTTTTCTTGTTTGCAGGTCGAAAGTAGTGACTTAATTTCTTACGGCTTGATACCAGAGTTTGTTGGACGATTTCCGGTTCTTGTTAGTTTATCTGCTCTTACTGAGAATCAACTTGTACAGGTAAAATATACCTGAAATTGGTACAATTGTTTCGTGCATATGTTAATATAATATTGTTGTGTGCATTAGCGGTGGACGTTAGGTCTGATTGGTTTTGACTTGGTAATATTGTAGGCGTCGTTAAGTCTCTAGAGATTATACACGCGTTTCCTTATAGTGTTAACCAGATCAACGAAACGTTTTTCTAGGTTCTAACAGAGCCAAAAAATGCGTTGGGGAAGCAGTACAAAAAGATGTTCCAAATGAATAATGTGAGCATAAGTTCAATGGCATTTTCCTTTTACCATTTTCTTCGAACTTTTAGCTACATTATATTGTATTTGACAAATGGCAACCATTCAATTCTTAGGTAAAACTACATTTCACTGAAGATGCTTTGAGATCCATAGCTAGAAAAGCAATAACTAAGAATACAGGTGCCCGAGGGTTGCGATCCATATTGGAGAACATTTTAATGGATGCCATGTATGAGGTACACTATTCTTTTCCCCCATTGTTAAACTCCCCGCTTAAGTTAGGACTTGGGTAGTAAACGCCTTGATGAGAACTGTATGAACCTGAGACTACTGATACCAGATGAGAACTGTATGAACCTGAGACTACTGATACCAGATGAGAACTGTATAAACTGTATTAGATGAACAGTGATTACAACTGTACAGATTAAGGGAATATATACAAGAGAGAATCATAGGAAGACTAGGACAGAGAGTCATAATGTGACTCAAATACAAAGAGTCATAATAGCCTTACTCTATAGGTATATGAAACGGGATATATTCCTACGTGTTGTGCAGATTCCTGATGTCAGAACTGGGAATGATGCAATAGACGCCGTCGTTGTTGATTCTGAGTCTGTTGGAGCAGATGGCCAAGGATCCGGCGCTAAAATCCTTTACGGGAAGGGTGCATTGGACCGCTATCTTTCACGCTGTAAACTAAAAGATTCTGAGGTTTGTTCTATCTTCCTAGGTTCGAAATTTGATTATACCATACGGATTAGCAGGAAATGGTGTGATGTTTAACGTTTTTATTTTATGTTGCATTACAGACAACCTCAGAAGGGTGGGCGGCCGACGGTGTGCCGGAACCGGAGCCGGAGCAGCTTCCTTCTGTCGCTGCTGTGTAAGCACACACCCTTGTTATAGTTTCAACTCTGTACAGCATATATAAACTCAAATCATAAATTGTTTAATCCTCTCAACTTGCTATAATGCTGCATTTATTTATTTTTGGCTGACGAGGAAAATCGCAGCCATTACTTGAGAGTGTGCACCGGGTAAATTTTACTTATATGCAATAGCGCGTTCAAATTAAACAATTTGACTAAGAAAGTCAGCCATTACTTGAGAGTGTGCACCGGGTAAATTTTACTTATATGCAATAGCGCGCTCAAATTAAACAATTTGACTAAGAAAGTATTGACAATAATTGAACTCGTAATCTTTTAATACGACTATAACTGTTTTTTGGTCAGGCCATGAGGTGTCCTTAGCAGGTTTTAACTGTATGATGCACCTTTAAGCCCGTACCATACTTAGACTAATTCTCATTTGTATTGGGCCGGTTCAATTAAGGGACTAGTGCTGGTCAAATTATAGTTTTTATATACGAGAGGGAGTTTGAACTCTCGACCTCTCTTAAGAGATGAGAGTGCATAACTATTCATGCTAATCAAGCTGGTTATATGACTTAATTATTGTATCATGAATAAAAGGAAACGTATAGTAACTTTCCTTGAGTAAAAAGGAAAAAAGAAAACGCCATGAGAATTGTATACATTAGCCTATATCATCATGTTGGACACACTTAAAATCTAAGGGAGTGCCACAAAACTATTAATTTATTATTATAAATATTTAACCCATAAATTACATGAAATTGAATAAGATTATATGAAACATATATATACACATTATTATGATCCATGATTAAGGAGAGCTTTTCCATGGTTACGTTGTCAAACACAAAGCTGTAAAGGGCTAAAGTTCTCTTCAATATTATTCTTAATGCTATAATCTATTGTTAATGATTATGGTTGCATTTGAGAGAAATATTGGAGCAGTTAGGATAATCCACCTCTCTTCAAAGGCTTGTTTAGACTTGCATTTGGAGTCTAAGTGTGTGTATAGAGGAAACGAAATAGGTGAGAATGTACACTTAAGTGCAAATATGAACTTATAAAAGTGCATCGTTCATCCCAAAAATTACAAAGTAACTTTTAGAAATGATGTGCATTTTAAAATATCATATTTTGCACATTCAGATTTTTGGAAACTTTTAACTTTGCAATTGTATTAGCTATCTGCTTACCAAGTATTTTAAATTACTAAGAGAATCCCTACCAATAGTTTTTGGTGGGGTTCTTGAGAAAACTGAAAACATAGCTTAGCAGGACACGAGAGAGTGAGGAGAAAAAAAAAAAAAAAAAAAGGCTTCTTGCAATGCCTTGGTTTTTGGTAGACTTGTGGGACCCACAACAACAAATCTTTCTATCAGACTTGGTCGCGTGAAGGGCAACCCAGTGGCACGCGCCCGCTGGGTGTGTTACTGACCATTCACTTTTTTTTTTTTTTTTACTTGCAACTTTGTTTTTTTCTCTCACATCTTATCTTCTCTTTCCTAATCACATCTGCAAAAACTCTTAAAAAATCACAACTGTTGGAGATGCTTTAAGTTACAAAGTATTCCATATAACGGAAAATAAAATTTGTGGTATTTCTCTTTTTGTGACGAAAAAATTCATAGTCGTTATCCGAGGACACTGGATAAACACTAACTCTTTTGTAATAACCTACAAATCATATAGAAAAGATAAAACATACTAAGAAGACCCTGTGGAATATGCTCGATCGAGTTAGTGTTATTAGGGTTTAGGTGTAATTTTCCATTAAATTACAATTTGAATTCTACCCACTTTATTATAAATTAATTACCTTAATTAGTACAAAATTTGATTTAATGAAATCTTTAGAATATCCATTCTTCCCAAAATCTTTAGAATATCCATGTAATGATATATGGCGGTGGTGCGTACTCTACACTCATAATTTGAATTCTACGCTTTAATAATCCCACCAAATTGAAATCAATAATTTTTTAATTCATTTTTTTGGACACAGTGAAAAATGTTTCATTGAAATTAGGAATTAAAAGAAGATAGCATGACCATTAGATGAAGGCCGACCCACAATCACAACCTGAATTCAACGGTGATCCTTAATTCTCTCTGCATCCTTCCCAAAAGCTCCGAGAAAGGAGAAACAAGAAGACTCCTTTTCAGGGGAAAAGGGTTCCGGTTGGGTTCCTCGGAATCGCGCGCACTCTTTCTCTCTCTCTCTGTCGTTCTCTTTGTTTTCTTTCAAATTCTTTTGATTCTTCTTCTTTCCATTGTTTTCCCAGATCAAAGAAGAACCCAAAAGAAATTGAAAGAAATTCAAACAAAAACAAAAAAAACAATTCTGTTTGTTTTTTGTTTTTTTCCCTCGAATTCCCAATTCGGAGAAACAATTTTCGTAGAGACGCATGTGTATGTATGTATAAAATGGAGATTGAAAGCATCGAGTGCGTATCGTCGTCGGACGGCGGCGTGGAGGAGGAAGAGATCCCGTCGTCTCAGCGTCCGCATCCCAACCACCACCACCACCACCAGTACAACTCCTCCGCTAAGCCGCCGCAGAGTAATTTGTTGCCTGCCGCAATTGCCCCTACTAGTGTCCATGAATTGCTGGAATGCCCCGTTTGCACAAATTCTATGTACCCTCCCATTCATCAGGTCCGTTCTCTCTCTCTGATTTCTTTTCTTTTGTTCGCTTATAATTCTCCAAATGGATTTTATCTTTAGCGAAACAGACAAACATTTTCCAGTTTTATGTGTCTTACACTTGTTGAGGGTTAAGCATTGGCTGAACCTTAGTGTCTTCTAGCTTATCATAGATTCCCAGGAAAATTAGGGATCAGAGTTATACATTCTAATGTATACCCAATTATTGGTTGTTGGATGGATTAACAGATTATCTTCTGCTAAGCATTCACATGAGTGGTATAGATCGGACCGTGTTGAGAAATTAACAACATTTTGTTGTTTTCAGGCTTTAAAATATGTTTTTTATATACACCCTTTCTTTGTGCTTGTAATGAGTTTTCCTTGCTGCAATTCTGCGAATAGTGTCTTGATTCTTTACTTTCCTGCATTCACATCACGGCTTCATTTGGTATGTTGAATTGCAGACCTTGGCATTGAATTTAGTCATGTAAATTGACAAGGGGGAATCAAAGTTGATTACTTCGATTCTAATATTATATATTTTTTCTCGGGGATCATGGAAGGAGAAAATGTTATGTATAATGAAAAGGGATTCGTAGGGTGTGTCGATAGGAATGGATTTGACAAGGGTATTAACAATGAGGTGGACTTTTCGTTTTTGCAGTGCCACAATGGGCACACGCTCTGTTCAACCTGTAAAGCGAAGGTGCACAACCGATGTCCGACTTGCAGACAAGAGCTTGGTGATATTCGGTGTTTGGCCTTAGAAAAGGTAGCGGAGTCGCTTGAACTTCCCTGCAGATATTTTTCATTGGGGTGTCCAGAAATATTCCCATATTACAGCAAGCTTAAACATGAGACAATTTGCAATTTTAGACCATACAATTGCCCATACGCTGGATCAGAGTGTTCAGTTACCGGTGATATACCTTACCTCGTTTCTCATTTGAGAGATGACCACAAGGTTGACATGCACACGGGATGCACATTCAACCATCGATATGTCAAGTCTAATCCGCGGGAAGTCGAAAATGCCACATGGATGCTGACTGTAAGTGAAGCACTTCTTTACATCCTTTAATTAGTGTGTCAATAGTACTGATTGTGAACGTCATAAAATAATTTGTTTCTTGTTGTTCTTGGTATCGGATACCTTTACATGGGTTTGCTGGTGCAAGACCTTCCCTTGTTGTCTTCTTTTTCTGACTGAAAATAGCATGAAATATCAGCGGTCTAAGTGGCCAGATCTTGGATTGAATTATGCTGCAACTTTAAGGACGGGGTCTGGGGTTCTATCTATATTTACTTCGTTTTTCTTATAGCATACTATTGCTGGAGTTTTGAATTTTCTGATGAATTGTTTTCTTTGAGAAATACATTAGATTTCATAAACTTTTCCACTAAATGATCTAAGTAGGGATTTCTTGTATCCAAGTGTGCATTTACTTTCTTCCAAAAGCATATTGGATATATGTATGCTATAGCCCCATTTGCATATCTTTGTGTTATTAACTCGATTTACAATACCTGTTATATATGCAACCAAACGAAAACCTTTCAGTTGATTCCTTTCTCCTTCCTCTGTTAGGTCTTCCACTGTTTTGGTCAGTACTTCTGTCTTCACTTTGAGGCCTTCCAGCTCGGCATGGCACCTGTTTACATGGCTTTTGTCCGCTTCATGGGCGACGAGACTGAAGCCCGCAATTACAGCTACAGTCTTGAAGTAGGAGGAAGCGGTAGAAAGCTAATATGGGAAGGTACTCCAAGAAGTACCCGAGACAGCCACCGCAAGGTGAGGGACAGCCACGATGGCCTTATCATTCAACGTAACATGGCACTGTTCTTCTCTGGTGGGGATAGGAAGGAACTGAAGCTTAGGGTCACCGGGAGGATATGGAAGGAGCAGCAAAACCCAGATTCTGGTGTTTGTATACCGAATATTTGTAGCAGTTAAGCTCCCCCTTCAGCCTTCGGGAGTGATATGATTCTCCTCCATGGATTTGTGGATTGCTTGTTGTGTGTGTGAGAGTGTGTGAGCCTCTTTGTGTTGTTAGTAAAGTTTGTGCTCTGTGAATGTATTAGGATGCTGCTGCATTTTCGCCATGGATGAATATATAGAGTTATCAATTGTTAATAACAAACCTTACCTTATTCTCCATTTTTACACGCTATGTTTACTCCTGTAAACCTTCATAGCATGTTTCAATGAACTTGATTCACTTTCTTGTAATTATTTACACACTAAAGTCACAAGACATGTTACACCTTCGAAAAATGATATTTTCATAAATTAAAGGGGCGCTTTTCAAGGTGACAAAGACTCATTCAACGCTATTGCAAAAATCGGTCTAGGCGCTCCTAGACCTTGGTAATTTCCCTTAGACAATCGGCCGCTTAAGCAGCCGCCTAGTACTTACCTCGGCCGAGTTAACTCGTCTATTTCGGTCGAGTTGTTTTTTTAATTAGCCGCATAGGTATCGCTTAGATCTTCTAGCATTAGGTGCTACTCTACTGTCCGATTAGCGCCTAACGTCTACTGCAATCATGATTGTACGTATAGTTGATTAATTGGATGACTCGTGATTTACTTCCTCCTGCGTCTTTGAATAGGAAAAGGTTTATACTCCCTCCGTCCCATTTGATGTATCTGGTTCGATTATACACTCCCTCCGTTCCATTTTATGTATCTGGTTCGATTAACAAGACGTCTTTGAATAGGAAAAGGTTTATACTCCCTCCGTCCCATTTGATGTATCTGGTTCGATTAACGAGACTTGATTGAAGTTATTTTTAATTCAATTTTTCATAATATTAAGTTTAGTATTAGTATACAAAATTTATATATTTAGAAACTACACTAAAAGTATTATTAAACACAAAAAATAATATTTAAAAATAATAAAAATATTAAAAAAATAAATATAAAAGAAATAGTTGGTTTGAACAATGAAAATAGATAAAATGGGTCATTGGGAGTAATTAGTTTAGCATTGGTTGAAAACCTAATGTATATATAAAAAAGAAGAGTTCTATTACATGTACTCTCAAACTCTACTCCCTCATTTGTACTTTCTGAGATTGGTTATATTCAACATGTGGGTTCACAGAAAAGTGTCAAACATAAAAAACATATGAGAGGGAGTATAAGTTGGGAGTATAAAATGAGAGTACATAAATATTTAAAAAAAAATGGGTGCTTTTGAATTCAAAATTCATTCGTTGCATACACATGATGTCCTATCGTGGTCCAACTAGGTGATGTGGCCACGTAGTTTTTCTGACATGTCGGAATGCTGTTGGTCCAAAAACGTAAACATAGGCATACAACATGTCTTGCTGACTAACAGCCCAGTAGCCACATCTCACCTTAATCTTGCTTCCCAAGTAATATGTAAATCTTCTATCCTTTTTTAGTTACATTATTTACTCCGCATTTTAACCCTTTATTTTGAATTGGGGGTAAAATCGCCGAAGAAATCGCCATCACCGTCAAGATCTCTCATTTCTTTTCCCCAAAGACAGCAGCTTTAGTTTTTTTATTTAGTATATATATAAGGATTTGTCGGGCAGCTGTTCTTAATCCTCAAGACAAAAAAATTCCCAGAGAATGACCATGAGATAGGAACAAAAATATCTTATTTTTCTTCAGTTTCTCCCTGAATATCCAAGTTGTTTGCTTGGATCTCTCAGCATTGTGGTAAGAAATTCTGTTTTTTTACCCCTGGGTTTTGGTTCTTTACTGTAATTATCTGTGCTCTAGGTAACTCTTCTCTTGCTCAAGCAGTCAAACCCCCAAACCCTGCTTAATTATGTACTTTTAACCTCTCCTTGGTTGGATAAGTGTGTTTAGCCCTTTAGGAAATGTTAAAAATTGAAGCTTTAATCTTTATCTGCTTCTGTATTTGGTAGATTGGATTCGAATTGGTTTCTTTGATTTTGCACTGTGAGTTCAATTCCAATTTGGGAGTGGGGGTGGGGGAGCTATTAGCTTAGATGATTGGATTGTGCTTAAATTTTCATGGAATTAGTGGTTGTCTGCAGCTTTAGTTTCGTGGGGATTGAGGTTTCAGGATTGTTTGAGGTGGTTTTTGATAGTTTATCAGTGATATATTAGATTGAGTGGAGATTGTTGAATCTAATACTTGAAATGGGTATACAGGAATAGGTAGAAGAAAGGAGAATCTATATATATAGTGTTTTAGACCACAATGCCGGTTGCGAGTGTTGCAGTAAGCCCTGTGGTTGAAGAACATTGTATGGACCCACATTCGCTGCAGTTGAACGAATCGATTTTGATTTACCTGACTGTTGGCGGGACTGTGTTCCCGATGCATGTTCTTGGGTCGGATTCGATTGCTTCTGTGAAGCTTAGGATCCAGAGGTACAATGGGTTCTTTGTGAAGAAGCAAAAGCTTGTTTGTGGGGGGAAAGAATTGGCTCGGAGCAATTCCCTAGTGCGGGACTATGGTGTCACTAACGGGGATGTATTGCACTTGGTTCTCCGCCTATCTGACGTACAAGCAATTACTGTTGAGACTGTTTGTGGGAAGGTTTTCGAGTTCCATGTAGAAAGAAAGCGAAATGTGGGGTATGTGAAGCAGCAGATTGCTAGGCGGTGGGAAGGGCTGTTTGATCTCAAGGATCAGGAATTGATCTGTGATGGCGAGGAGCTCGAAGATCAGAGGGTCATAGATGATATTTGTAGAAGCAAGAATGCTGTGCTTCACTTGGTGGTTCGTCGATCAGTAAAAGTTAGGGCTAAGCCCGTTGAGAAAGATTTCGAAGTTTCTATTATAGCTCGAGAATCAGATGATGATATTGTAGAAAATCCCTCGGAGAAGCTTAAGGTTGTTGCTGTCAAACCCGTGCAGCAAGATTTCATCTTGCAGCCACTGACTATTAACCCAGAGATAACGTTAACACCAGGAATTAAGCAGCTAATTCGTGACACTTTTGAAGGTTTAGAGGGCGGGAACCAACCGATTAGGTCTTGTGAAGGATCGGGAGGTGCATATTTCATGCAAGATTCGTATGGTCATAGGTACGTCTCTGTTTTTAAACCAATCGACGAAGAACCTATGGCTGCAAATAATCCCCACGGGCTTCCCTTGTCGACAGATGGGGAAGGGTTGAAGAAAGGCACGCGTGTAGGGGAGGGGGCGCTAAGGGAAGTTGCGGCTTACATTTTGGATCATCCAAGGGCCGGGCCACGAGCAATCCATAGCGACGAGAAGGGTTTTGCTGGGGTTCCCCCGACAGTAATGGTCAAATGCCTGCACCAAGGGTTCAGCTATTCACATGGATATAAGTATTCATCTAACAACATCAAAACCGGGTCGCTGCAAATGTTCATGGAGAACTCGGGAAGTTGCGAGGACATGGGTCCCAACGCTTTTCCAGTGGAGGATGTACATAAAATCTCGGTGTTGGACATACGGTTGGCAAATGCAGACAGGCACTCGGGCAACATTTTGGTCCGTAAGGATGGTGAAAAAGGGCGAGTTGTGCTTATTCCAATTGATCACGGTTATTGCTTGCCAGAAAGTGTAAGTACTAAACTCTTCAATTCCTCGCGTTTACTGATGCATTGAATCCAACTAATTAGCTAGTCTAACCCATGGCCTTATGAACCCATATGTTCTCTCTTATTTTATCGGACCTCTTAACACCTATTATGCAAGAATCGTTACCTTTCTTTAGCACGTAAAGAAATATTTATCCTTTGTTTATGCAGTTTGAAGATTGTACATTTGACTGGCTTTACTGGCCTCAAGCAAAGCACCCGTATTCGCCAGAGACAGTCGCCTACATAAACAACCTCGATGCTGACAAGGACATCGAGCTTCTCAAGTTTCACGGGTGGGACCTTCCTGTTGAATGTGCACGAATACTTCGTATCTCCACTATGCTTCTGAAAAAAGGTGCGGAGAGAGGGCTTACCCCTTTCGCCATCGGGAGCATCATGTGCAGAGAGACAATAAAGACGAAATCCGTGATCGAGCAGATTGTTGAAGAAGCGCTTGAGGCCATTCTCCCCGAGACAAGCGAGGCAGCGTTCCTCGAATGCGTTTCATCAATCATGGACCGCCGCCTTGAGGAGCTGCCAGAGTCACAGAAGAAGTAAACATACAGACAAGTACTAAGATATATAGCTTATGCATATATATATGTTTTAACTTATTGTGGATGAAGGTTAAACAGTAAATAGTAGTGTTCCATGCTTTCACCTCTTGTGCTCAAGAATTGTTCATTTCTAGTAAAGAACTGTCTTGTTTGAAATGTCATATGTATTCATCTGTCCAACAATAAAAATTTTCAGGTCATTTAGAATGTAAGTTCATCCTCATCCTCAATCTTTGGATGTGTGTTATTTTTTCCATTGTGATTGTGTAGTGTGTACAAACAAATAGCCATATTACTAGAGTTCATCACTAGCTTGAAGAATCAAGTTTAAGTGTTGAGAAAAACGTGATCAAGAGATCAAGAACAAAAAAACAAAAACGAAGAAGAGTTTACATGGATCAGCTTGCTTACAAGCATGGGAACGAAATTTTTATTAATTGTAATGATAAAACATGCAAGGTTACATATAGAATGTATTATACCCCTCACCCTCGACTCACTCAGCGAACAAATATAGAATCTTGTTACTTATCACTATTATATATCTATAAACATTAAGACAATTTAAATCATATCTTCTTTATAAACATTAATCGTATCACATTTGTTCACATTTCTCACAATTTACTTTTTTTTTTTTTTTTGTCTAAATTTCAAAACCGGAATTCAGTTTCAAAACCGCAAGATTGTTGCAGTGTTTGAGCAAAGGCTTGGTATTGAAAAATAAATATACATACATATGACCACACTTTACTCTTCTATGGTGAAAAATAAAAACAGTAAAAGGGTAGATTATGTTGAAAAATAGCATTAAAATGGTTGGTTAAGTGGTTATTTTGTTGTACAATTATCAATGAGGTCCACTTTCAATTTTGGTCGGGTCAAAGTGGATTTGGGTTCTTCGTAGTGAGACAAAGAGATTGATATATTGTACGCTCAAAACGGATAATGGGTGAATGAGATATTGATTCTCAAAGTAGACCCATTGAGTTGGAAAAATAAAAGAAAAAAGGTGAGCTTTTGTCCCACATTGGTTTGGAAAGAGGATTTGCCCCACTATTTATATAAGAGTCTTTTAAAGGCTTATTAAATGTATAGCATAGAGGCTATCTTTTGCGCCCAAAGGAGTGGGGTCTCGGCCAATTTGGTATGAGGATTATAAGTTCTAATTTTTGGTTGATATATATCTATGTGGTTCGTTTTATATATATTTATGTGTATATATAAATATTATTTTGGGATATTAAATCCACTTTTAGTTCATTATTTCCAACAGATTATATATATAATCTTACTTTGCATCTTCTATAATAAAATCGATTAGGATGGCTTGCTGCAACTCCAGCAACCATTTTTTCCAGACGAGAATATATCTCAACATCCTACCCATAACATATTAACATCTATATAAATCAACCAAACAAAATGTGATATAAGTATGTTACTTATAGAAATAAAAACAATCGAAATCTAAGTAAAAACAAGATGTATATATAGATACTGCGGAAAATGGCACTTTTCCTCCCTGAGTTATATACTTATAGTACTTTTTCCCCCTCAATTATTTAAGTGGCTCTTTTCCCCCCTAAAATGTTAAATGGACATATTTACCCTTAAAATAAATATTTAAAATAAATATTTCATTTATTTTTCTTCTCCAACAAATTATTACTATAATTTGGTTCAAACCAAACAGATACTATAGCAACCAAACCAAAATATTCCAATTACAATTTAGAATCAAAACGCGATATTTAGAGTTTATTAAAATCGCAAATCGAAATGGCCGGTTCATGTTCCGAACTGAAAAAATAAAATACATTTATTGTTGAATTTAGACTATTTTAAAATAAAATTTAAAATAAAGACGGTTCAAAATCGCGAACCGGATCCGGAACCGCCGGTTCACGGTTCATGATCCAGTTTTTTTGGTTCATAAATTTAATAAATTGAAATCTAAATATTGGATTCTAGATCTGAATCATATCCGAAAACTTTTAATTCGATTGCTATAGTGTCCGGTTCAGTTCGAACCGAACCGTGGTCATTGCTACATATACACAATAATTTGTTGGAGAAATAAAATAAATAAAATGTTTACTTTAAGGGTAGAAATGTCAATTTAATATATCAGGGGGAAAAACCACCACTTTTAAAATAATTGAGGGGGCTAATGTTCTTACATAAATAATTGAGGGGGAAAAAGTGCTATAAGTATATAACTTAGGGGGAAAAAGTGCCATTTTCCCTAGATACAACAGCTTAAAAAAATATTTGTACTATCCTACAGAGGAACATTATATTACATAAAATAAAAGGATATTATATTGATAACTAAAACTTACCGATTAGATCCTTATAATCAAAATCGTCAGACTATATCAATGATGAAATTAGAGTTTATTTGTTTGTACTCCTTAACTATTGTTGCATAGTTAATTCTAAAGTTAATATCTAATATAATCCTCTATTAATTCTACTTAATTTAGTCTTAAATGACTTTTTATATACTATTTAATCATCGACTTTAATGGTTTTACACACTTTAATTCTTTATTAAGAATTCTGATTGTTGGCTGTTAATAACAAGGTTAACATGATAATTTCATTTTTCTTTTATTTTTTATTACAGGTTCCTCTCAATCAAAATAAAAAATAGGGATAAGGGTCAAATAGACCCTTGAACTATTGATGAAAGTGAAATTAGCTCCCTCAACTACAAAAAGCTTCAATTAGACACTTAAATTTTATAAAAAGATTCAATTAGACCTTTTTACAGGTTATCATCAAGTAATGAGTTAAAATTAGGTGACTTGGCATCCACATACATCCAACTAAAAAATTAAATAATTTTTTTAATTAATTACTGCCATGGCAGCTTGGTAGCCAACCAAACTGCCATGGCAGCAATTAATTTTTTGAAAAAGATATTTAATTTTTTATTTGAATGTATATGTGAATGCCAAGTTACCTAATTTTAACTCATGATAACCTGTGAAAATGTCTAATTGCATATTTTTTAAAGTTTAAGTGCCTAATTGAAGCTTTTTGTAGTTGAAGGGACTAATTACACTTTTATCAATAGTTGAATGATCTATTTGACTCTTAGAGCATCTCCAACCCACTCTACTTCAAAACACCAAATTTTTTCATCAAACGTCACATCAGAAGGAATATTCTCAGCATATTCTCACACCAAATTTTATTCATCTCCAACCCATTTTCACCAAAACACCAAACTTTTACACTAAAATAATTTTATTTTTTAATTATTATTTCGAATTTAATTAGTTTAATATAATTTAGTTCGAACTTATTTAGTTTAATAGAAAATATAACTTGTGATGTAAATAATAATTTTTATTAACATTAATTTTTTTATAAAATTAATTATTTTAAAAAATCGAATTTAACAATATTTTTTAAAATTTAATTTATTCCACAATAATAATATAGCATACAACATCTTGTACATTTAATTATGTTCTAGTTATGTTTGATGTATTTGAAATTTTAATTAATATATATTCAATATTAGTCTTGTTTCGATCGTCTCAATGAGATCTTTAAAATGGTATAATTTTTATTTAATTATACAAACTTTAAATATAAGTATTTAACAAAATAAAACATTACACATAAAACAAATAAAGGATACATTTGGAATTATAAAAAGAAGTAAGGATAAAAGAGTCATTTTCTCCTCCATTTTAGATTTGCCGTGAATGAACAGTGCAACGCCGTATTTGGCGTTATGGCGTAATGGCCAAACATTTTGGCGTTATGGCGTAATGCAATCTCCCTTTGGAGCATCCCAATTTGCATATTTGGTGTTTTGCAGTTAAATTTTGCAGTTTTGCAGTCCACATTGGAGATGCTCTTATCCCTAAAAAATATGGGGCAAGAGGAAAAGCGGCAGACCATATGACAAAGGTATTCTCATACAATATAAATAATTAAATATTACCAATTATTTTTATCTTACCAGTGAGCATTTGTGCTCATGAGTGCTATACCTATTTCTAATCAAGCTTGCTAAGCTGTATCCTCTACTTGTCAAATTTCCTGCTGAAATGAAGAATGTACAAATATTAGTTCCTATATACAAAACCTGATAGTATAGAAACAAATTAAATATCAGTATCAACAAGATTAATGTTTCTGAAATTATAACATTATTTAAGTACTGCATGCATATTGAATATTATGATTTTAGAGTGCATATAAATTAAATTAGTAGAGAAGACCAAGAATGGAAGTATGGTGCTGATGTTATCAGTCACCATTGTCAATAGATTTCCGATGATCTCCTTCAAAAATTGAAGGCAATTAAAAAAAATTAAAATCCAAATGTTATATAAAAAAATTTCAGTCATCAGATTTGAAATCAATGGTAAATAGGGGAAGTCATTTTTCAAGCCCAAATGACAACTCTCAAATATAAATAGAGTTTTTTGCACTTTTGGTCCCACGATTATAGTGGCACTAGTAGAATTGATCCACGACTTTTGAACCTTGCAATTTTAGTCCACGACTATTGATCTTTTTGCAAAAATGGTCCTTTCGGCCACTTTTCCGTCAAAATTCCACCGGAAATTTTTTTTATCCATTTTTAACAGGGCTAAAATTGACATTTTACTTATCTCAAAAAATAAAAGAAAAAAATTGACATTTGACTACATACAATATTACTGGGCTACATACTACTGCCCCAGGCGGCGGAGTTCCTGTAGCAGGTAGGGCTGTCAGTAAGCGGCGGAGCGGCCGTGGCGTTCCCCGGGCTAGTTGGGTTATCCGGCAGCAGCATTGGAGGCGGAGCCAACACGCCTGCGGGATCATCCGAAGACATCGGAAAAGCTTCGTTGTATAGATTTTCAGCGAGAGAAGCGGTAGAGATTCTCAAATGCAATCGCTTTTACCTTTCCGTTTTATGTATTTCCTTTATATTTTGAGATAAATAAAATGTCAATTTTAGCCCTGTTAAAAATGGATAAAAAAAAATTTCCAGTGGAATTTTGATGAAAAAAGTGGCCGGAAGGACTATTTTTGCAAAAAAATCAATAATCGTGGACTAAAATTGCAAGGTTCAAAAGTTGTGGATCAATTCTGCTAGTGTCATTATAGTTGTGGGACCAAAAGTGCAAAAAACTCATATAAATATAAGGGAGATATTTAATTGTTGCAGAGATTCTTTAACTCTTGGTTAACATATGTTAGATAGTTAATAATTAGGAGGAAAAGGAATCTTTGTTTTCAAAAAAAAAAAAAAAAAGGAGGAAAAGGAATCTTTTGGGGGTGGGGGGAGAGGGGATACCCCGCTGGCTATGCTAGCTGCTTCTCCTAGTAAGCAGCAACTCACAATCCAGGAAAAGGAATTTTTTATTAATAAATAATAGAGTATTTTTTTCGTAAATGAAGAATATACTCCGTAGTATTTTACATTCGTTCCACCATTTATTTCCTTAATTGGCGCGGTTTCACCAAAAAACATTCCGTATAATGTTGCCATCTTGTCGTAAACAATGTTTTTTTTTTTTTTTTTTTTTTTTTTTTTAGTTCGGAGTTGAGTTTTATTATGTATTTATTTACTATTAAATTTTACTTTCTTATTTTTATTTTCTGATTTGAAAAATAAAAATATGTTATTTTCATCATATAGGTATTCAAAAAGTATTCACAATATTTTCCTTTGAAATTTGAGTGTTTTGTACCTAAAATTCTTATGTGGGTCTAGTCATCATTGAATTTTTTATGATTTGTACGAGTAGATTATCGAAAAAAAAAATTATATGTAATTTAATTACAAAAAATACAATTAGCACTATTCTTTGGCGTTAAACGTCTCAATTGTATTTGTTTTTAGTTTGATCACAAAAGTTTAACAATTTATTTAATGTGTATTAACAAAGTATAAAATATGTTTAAATTATTTTGTTTGAGAAATAAGTGAATAAGTAGGGCATTAATTTTGGTGCTTAACTAAGCTACATCATGGTCTTATTAAAATTGCTTTTTCATTAATTAAGCGGTGCTTAACTAAGTTACATCATGGTCTTATTAAAATTACCTTCTCATTCTTCCAAAGGTTGAACCCCAACCCCAAGGGCCCTCCACACCCCGGCCCGACAGAGCGGAAAAATTACCTTCTCATAAAACTATTAATAGACATTCTCATAAGTGGTTTAGTCTTCTGGTTATCTGGTTATCAGATGAATGGATACTTTTGGCAACAAAAAAAAAAAGGTTAATATATAAATATATAATGCCAGACATAATAATACAAACAACACAATACATTTTCAGAAACATACAAATTACAAAAATTCTTAGCCAAGTTGATCAAACTATTGGTCCAGATAACTATGGGCATCTTTTGTTGACTAAGATTACAAGGTAGAGTTTCCCTAAACTCAGGGAATACAAAATTTCTTGTCACTCAAAAAAAATACAAAATTAGCCGGTATGCTCATCTTTCCTAAATATATATTTAAATATAAAAAAAAATTTCACACTTTTCACTTTAAAGAACTTTCAAATTCCTTCAATTATCTTTGCTAGCTGTTTTAATTTAATCAATAAAATCACTAGCAAGAAACAATTGAAGGAGTAAATAAAAAATCAAACCTTTAATTTAATTTGCCTGAAAATTAAACTTACATATATGGCGCTAGTGACGAAGCTGCTGTAGATCAGGATTTAACCATTGGGTGAGGCTATGCGATGCCATTAAACCTTCTGGGCGCCTGGAATTTGTAGTGAGATTAGCAGAAGGAATGAGGTATGATGGCTGGGAATCATTCCCAAATAAATTGGAAACTAACGATCTCAATGAATTCATTGCCACCGTCCAATCTTCTTCCCCGGCAGGACCTGAGTCCTCCATCTTTTTAATGAATTCAAAGTGACTAACGTAGTCATTGCAGATCCAATCAAATTCATTGATAAACAAATTTGGAATCCATTTTGATAGAGCCACTATGTCGTCCACACTGACAATTTTTTTGTCGGACCGAGCAATAATTACGGATTTGAGGCAGTTCTTCACCGTAATTCCCGCTCTACAGTCAAGAAGGCTCTTAATCGGGGGGTTAAACAGATACGTGTCCAGATAAGTATTCATGGATAGCACCAATGTCCTGCCAATCGTTAAAGCGATGGCGGCGCCCAGAGAGTGACCAGTTAACCAGACGCCATTTTCAGCGACGTTTTCCAGAAGAATCTTGACGGCGGTGACCCCCATATCCACCCTAGTCGAGTCGTGGAGGCCGTTGAAGATGTAGTCCCAATCGTTTTCTATGTCCTCCATGGCGGTAGCTTTGCGAAGCATTGTTCCACGGAACGCGATCGCGAACTTGGGCGGTGGATCTCCGGTGGATTTCCGATGAAAGATTGCCCCGAAAATGGAGTTATCGTGAGGGTCTCTTAGAACCATGTCTCCGCTCAAATCGAACCCGTATATGCTCCACCGTCGACTAACAGACTCGTCGGAAAGGCAAAGCTGCCGCCCTTTTTGGCGTTCTTTTTCTAGATCTGTTACGGCTTTTACCAAGCTTGCAGCGACCACCATTTCAGGAAACGGATTGCTCCTGCAGAAAAGACATCATCATATATATATTTTAAAAAATAATAATAATAATAAAACATCAAAACAAATTAAAGGGACAAGTGACGTTGGGTCTCTCCTAAGTGATTACTCTTATTACAGTTCTTGATGACCCTAAGAACAAAGAACAGGGAAACAACGTAATACCTAGCAAGTAGGAGCGGCTCAGTCTGGTCAATTCCGGTGGCTCCTCCGGCAGAATTACCTGAATGGAAAAACATTATCATTATTACTAATGCAAAAAAGAATGCACGTACGGTCTCAAATACTAGCTAGAACAGAAAGATTTTGTTTAATAAATAAACTCCGAACAGTGGCGGCAGACTATATATGAGCTCGTGTTTGAGCTTGGTGGTATCTCTACCATAAACACACTACGTCTCAATTACGCTATTTGATCAACATAAACTTTTTCAAAAGCCCTTAAAATTAAAAGACTTACATGAGGAAGAGACGCTGTTTTCCATTTTGCCGATACCGGCTCCGAGGGCCCGAGCTCACACCGGCCACCTGGAACTTGTTGTGCTCAGAGGAGAACACCGTAGTCCGTATATATAGAGCCATGCATGTGTATATTCTTTTGCCATTTTCTAGTTTTCTAGCCTTTCACACGACTACAGTCTACAAAGTTGACTCAAAACTCTTCAGGTAAAAATGATGGGGCAATTCACTTCGTTGGTTTTTCGGAAGCGAATACTGTTTGGTTTTTGTTTTTTTCGGCAGCGACTACTATTGGGTTTTGTTTGAGTTAATTCAAGCAATGGTCTTATTTTTTAAAATTGATCATCGTTTTTTAATTTAATTAACTATTAAATTTTTTTCAGCATTGGTCCTTCCGTTAACTATCAGTTTGTTAGGTGTTAGTGAATGGACTAAAATGGTCATTTCTTGTGATTGCTTTCTTCTTCAGCATTACATCTTGTAACAATGCCATCTCTCTGATTACTTTTCGCCGATTTATCATTGATTTCTCTGTGTGCATTTTCTTGTTACTCTGCAATCACATTTTTTCCTTCAGGCAAGACAACATAAGAGGTAATCAACTTACTGAAGAAACTATTTGGACATAACAGAAGAAAGAAAAGGCAAAAGACATTGCAATCTGAACTTGATTAGATTAAGGAGAAAAAAGGACCAAAGGCAGCAAAATTCTTCTTTTCTAATTGCCAATATAACAAAATCACAGATAGTAGAACAAAAATCATTCAGCAATCCAAGGATTTCCGATCACACATCCACAACATAAACTGAACTTTACAAAAAACTTGAATCTTTTCTTGTTTTATTGAATTCTCCCTTCCTCGTTCCTTAGGGAAATCGAATTAAAAATCCAATGAACTAAAAGTCGCCAACTTTATCAAATTTATAAGAAAAGATTGGCCTCTGAGCCTTGCAAACTCAATTTAAAGCTGTGTTTTCTAGCAAGAACGGAAACCCAGACCATTAAACACCCCACACTGCATTAAACAATCGACAATTTCAAGCTTCCCAGGAGCCTTCATAGGTTGCAGATTGGTCCTGGTTCGAGTATTCATCTTCCTTCACTCCCCAAATTAAAAAATCAATAACCCCTGCTAATCTGGCACATCATCAAAAACCCAAATTCATTTCTCAAAGAAGAATAACATGAGTAAATGGTGCCATGGTGGTATGAACAATACAGGGGGAGAGAGAGACCTTATAGGTGGTAAGCGTAAATCATGAAAGCGGGAAAAAATCAGAACTGAAATAAAAAATGCAAAGCCCCCACCCCCAAAAGACAAAGGCCCTGTTTGGTAGAAAATTGATCTATTTGTCAATTTTAGCTTATTTGATCACTATTAATTGTTTGATTTAGTTAAAATATCAATATAAATGTTTGATTAATTAACTTTTTGCAACTTTAAAAGGCTAAAATTCAAAAAGCTATTCCAAACAACTTTTTCAATTAACTTTAAAAAAAGAAAAGAAATTATACCAAACAGCTATCAGCTAACAACTAATTTACCAAACACTTTTCTACCATCAACTAATGTTACCAACTATTTATACACTCTAATTAACATAATCAGCTAACAACTAACAACAATTTTACTAAACAGGGACAAAATCTGCACGAGCCTCTCTGCAATGGTTCAGTCCGATCCCAACGCTTATTGATCTTCGCGAAAGTCAATATAGTTTTAGTCTATTAATACTATTTTTGGGTCCTCCTCTGAGCAAGTGTGGCTGTTCCAGTGGAAGTCAATATAGTTCAACCAAACCGTTGCTTGAAAGAAGCGAGTGCCCTGCGCAAGTGAAGAAGAAAGCAACCACAAGAAATGACCATTTTAGCCTCTTCACTAACGCCTAACAAACTAATAGTTAACGGAAGGATCAATGCTGGAACAAATTTGATAGTCAATGGTCTATTTCGTCTAAATTAAAAAAACGAAGAACAATTTTAGAAAATCACAATAGGTGGAGGACCATTGCAGAAATTAACTCGTTTTTGTTTTTTCGGAAGCGAATACTGTTGGTTTTTTTTTTTTTTTTTTTTTTTTTTTTTTTTTTAATAATAATAATATTAATAAAAAAGTAAATCTAAGTGCCTTTGATGTCTGCTCAGCTATTTAGTTCATATTCTCACCAGTATCTCTATTAAATTTTTTATTTGATTTTTTTATGATTTGATCTCTACTTTGCACTTTTGGTGTTCGTGGGACAATTTTTCTTTATCTCAAAATTATATCCAACTTGAGTTATTTTTACAATATTTAGTATTTTTCTTAATTTAATGTTTCTATTAAATTAATGTGCTTTAACATCATTCTAATTTTGATTTCCAGTGTACTGGAAAATAATATTCCAGTGCACTAACAATGGCGAATTATGTCAAAAAATTAACTATACAGTAACAATCCAAAGTTCAAACACACTATTAAATGCTAATTATTAAACGTCAGTTGGTTTTTTACACAATCGACTCTTGTTCTTCAAATATTAATTATACAATAGATGATTATTCATCTTGTCAATAAAATATTCCAAGTGAGCCAAGTGAAGAGTCGATTGTGTAAAAAAACAACTGACGTTTAATAATTAGCATTTAATAGTGTGTTTGAACTTTGGATTGTTATTTTGTTATATAATATTTAGACTTTGATTTTGGACTATGTGAATATGTATTGTTTGGTAGTGTGTTTGTAAAATTAGAAAATACGTAATATCGAACTGAACCAATTCTGAACCAAACTATAATATTAAATCAAATGATATCATTTTTTAATATCGAAATACCGAAAAAAAAAAAAAAAAAAAAGTCAAACCCAACCCCGAAATGCCCACCCATACCATAAATATTACGTACTAAGTAGACTATGTGTTAGCATTTGTTATTAACAAGTCATTTTTTTCATTAACAATACATCCTTCTTCTCCCAAGACACGTTTGGAGCCACATTTTGACAAAATCTTTCAACTCCAAATTTCCATATATTAATTGTTGGAAAAAAAAATGAACTAAGTCGATTTGTCAAAATAATATTAATATATATATTCACACGAATATATATATATATATATATATATATATATATATATATATATATATATATATATATATATATATATAAAGCAAGATGGAACTTATAATCCTCCATATTACAATTCCAACCAACAAAAAAGGAGAAAGGATTTGATGCTTAGAGCATATTCTCAAAATCCAAAAAAAAAAAAAAAAAGGAGATGAGGAAGAGAGGGACTTGAGCGAAACACCATTTCCTTAAAACCTTATTTGCTACCTCTCAAAAGTGCTAAAAGCGTTGTAGCCTAGGTTTCTCAGGATAAAACGTACTATGGTTCGACGTTTGATGAGCACCCAAACGAACGGACCCGGCGAACGAGAGTAGTAGAGCAAGGCTTAGAACACAGTAGAAAGAAAGGAGTAGAAGTAGAGAGTTTTGAAGCTGAAAGGAGTAGAAGCAAAGAGTTTTGAAGCTGAAAACTATGATTTCTTTGTGTGTGTTCTTGTGTTCCTTATTCACAAATTTCTGCTGCTCTATCCCCCTTCTTATATAGGGATGAAGGAGTAATAGCATTTAATATGCCCATTAAACCCTGCTCTCTTTCAGTCGAAAGTAGACATAACTTAGTCCGCCGGCCATTAAACCCTGGTCTCTTTCAGTCAAAAGTAAGCACAACTTAGTCGCCCGCCGTTAAACCCTGCTCACTTAGCCCGCTGGCCATTAAACCCTGCTCTCTTTCAGTCGAAAGGGCCGACCATTAAACCCTGCTCTCTTTTAATCGAAAGTAGGCATAACTTAGCCCGCCCTGCCGGCCATTAATTTCCTGTTTCTATTAAATTAATATGCTTTAACATCATTCTAATTTTGATTTCTAGTGTACTGGAAAATAATATTCCAGTGTACTAGCAATGACGAATTGTGTCCAAAAATTAACTATACAGTATTTGACACTTGTTCTCCAAATATTAATTATACAATAGATGACTATTCATTTTGTCAATAAAATATTCCAAGTGAACCAACTGAAGAGTCGATTGTGTAAAAAACCAACTAACGTTTGATAATTAGTATTTAGTAGTGTGTTTGAATTTTGGATTGTTATTTTGTTATATAATATTTAGACTTTGATTTTGGACTATGTGAATATGTATTGTTTGGTAGTGTGTTTGTAAAATTAAGAAATACGTAGTATCGAGCTGAACCAATTCCGAACCAAACTATAATGTTAAACCAAATGATATCATTTTTAATACCGAAACTAAAAAAAAAAAAAAAAAAGTCAAGCCCAACCCCGAAATGCCACCCCTACCGTAAATATTACGTACTAAGTAGACTATTTTTTAATCAGTGTGGAGGGGTCACCCAAAAAGCTACATCATCCGCTCCTAACCCTCCTGGTTCTGGGTACTCTTCTCGCAAAATTTGCTCCTATTCGGTCGTGCTGAATTGTCTCTTGCATTAGCATTTGTCATTAACAAGTCATTTCTTCATTAACAATACATCCTTCTTCTCCCAAGTTACGTCTTGAAGACACGTTTGGAGCCACATTTTGACAAATCTTTCAACTCCAAATTTCCATATATTGATTATATTGTTGGAAAAAAAATGAACCAAGTCGATTTATCAAAATAATATATATATATATATATATATATATATATATATATATATATATATATATCAACCAAGATGGAACTTATAATCCTTCAGATTATAATTCCAACCAACAAGAAAGGAGAAAGGATTTGATGCTTAGAGCATAATCCCAAAATCCAAAAGAAAGGGGATGAGGAAGAGAGGTTAGTACGAGTTGAGCGAAATACTATTTCCTTAAGACCTTATTTGCTACATCCCAAATGTGTTAGGAGCATTGTAGCCTAGGTTTCTCAGGATAAAACGTAATACGGTTCGACGTTTGAACACCCAAACGAACGAACCCGGCGAATTAGAGCAATGCTTAGAACACAATAGCAAGAAAGGAGTAGAAGCAGAGAGTTTTGAAGCTGAAAACTATAATTTCTTTGTGGGTGTTCTTGTGTTCCTTGTTCACAAATTTCTGCTGCTCTACTCCCCTTCTTATATAGGGATGAAGGAGTTAATAACATTCAATATGGCCATTAAACCAGCCTTGTAACACCTGAATCAGTCCGCCACTAAGTGAAAAAAATTCAAAAATTAAAAATGTTCTCGAACCAGATTCGCCCTCTTCTGTGTTACTTTTGGCCTCGCGTGCTGCTCTCTTTCAGCTAAAAGTTTAACTTAACCTAGCCGTACACGAGTTCAAGCCTTTTCAGGCTTAGTTTGAAATTTGATTTGCACCCCTTGCACTTGAGAGAGCTTCTATCCTATACAATAGATAAACCTATAAAAGACCCTTGTATAAATAGTGGTACAAATTCACTTCCCAAACTAATGTGAGACAAAAGCTCATCGTTTTCCCTCAATTTTCCAACTCAACGGGTCTACTTTGATAATCAATACCTCATTCACTCATTATACGTTTTGAGCGTACAATATATCAATCTCTTCGTCTCATTACGAAGAACTCGAATTCACTTGGATTCGATCCAAATCGAAAATGGACCCCAGTGATAATTATATCACAAAATAACCACTTAAAATGTCATTTTAATGCTATTTTTCCAACATTGATCGACAAATCTATCAATTCATTCCAAATTACTTTGGAGCCATATATTGACAAATCTATCAATTCCAAACCTTATTATATAATTGTTTGGTTGCCCTTATGTCCAGATGAGACTTGAGATGAAGGACAACTCATCAAGTACAGAGACACCAAAACTTGTGTGTGTTGGTATTAATTAAGAATGAGATGATGGGGTAAAATTAGACCTGGCAATTCGTGTATACGGGTTCGTTAACGGGTCGACACGATAATGACATGAACACGATAAGGCTAAACACGAACACGACACGATAAGGTTAACGGGTCCAAATTTGTAACACGTACACGAACACAATTTGTTAACGGGTTAAACGGGTTGACACGATAGATACGTTTTGTTAATAGATTTCGGGTCGTGTCGACACGATATGACACGAAACACGTTTAAACTCACTAAACCTATTAATATATTAAAAAAAAACTAAAATTTAAAGTTAAGTTATATATAAAAGAAATAAAACCTACAATTCAATCGATCAAACAAACTAAAAAAATATTCAATTTATAACATTCATAAAATAATAAAATAACATACAAAAATCATAATTAAAGAAGTCCATGCCTAGTTTTAGAATAAAATTGAACACAATAAAAGTTAAAACTTCATATTGTTGAACACCAATAATTGGTGTAGGATTTTAGCCTAATGTAGTAAATTCATCCTTAGCATGTACTCATGTTCATGATGTCTTTTGTAATCTCATTCATGACAATGGTTCTTAGCGGGTTCTAAACAGGTTTGTGTAAATGGGTTCGTGTAAACAGGTTAACACGATAATATTAACGGGTTAAACGGGTTCTTAATAGGTTTAACAGGTTGACCCGTTAAGACACGAAACATAACGGGTCCTTAACAGGTCAACCCGTTAACGACCCGGGACATGTTAAGGCTAAACACTAACCCGTTATTTTCGTGTCCGATTTCGTGACGTGTTAACGGGTTGTGTCCATAATTGCCAGGTCTAGGTAAAATGAGTAAAACAATTAAAGCTAAGGTTAGATTATATATCGATCTGTACATGGAACTGTGGCTAAGGAGAAAGAGTTCTACTACATGAACTCTCAAATTCTACTCCCTCATTTTTACTCTCTGAGGTGGCAAACCAGGATTGATTATTTTCATCATATGGGTCCACAGAAAAGTGTCTACATCAAAAACATGTGAGAGGGAATACAAGTTGAAAGTATAAAATGGGAGTACACCAAGTATTTTCCAAGGAGAAATAAGGCAGTAGGGAATCCCAATTCCCAACGGAGGATTAACTATAGTGATTGATATCTGCAAAATTACATTACTAGAGAGCAAAGACTTTGGATGGACTAAATTCCAACAACATAAAACCATGAAAATTCATAAGTACTAAACTCTTCAATTCCTCGCATTTACTGTGTCGATCAGATATTGTTTACGTTTTCCTTACATCACTGCTGGAAATCAGTGTTTTTCCGACCACCAAAAAGTGGTCGGAAAATGTCAAAATTCCGTTGAAAACCCTTGTTCCGACCAATTTTCCGATCACTTTGAGGATTCGGAAAAATCCCCCTCGGTATTTTCGACCACCACATCAAGTTATCGGAAATACCATCCACTCTACTAACGTCGTCGGAAAAATTGGTCGTAGGCTGGAAAGTAATGTCGTGTAGTTTCCGACTACCAGGTGGCCGGAATGTCCGACCACTTGGTGGTCGGAAAGTTATTTAGTTAGTTAAAAAAATAAATTCCGACCATTTGGTGGTCGGAAAGTAATTTAATAAATAAAAAAAAAATGTGGCCTGCTACCAGCTTCATCAGCCAATCCAGCAGCAGCTGCCAAATTAGAAAAACATATAAAACAAAAATAATGTCTAATAGACATTCATGCTTATAGCATACTGAACCTCACATTTTACGCCAATACAAATATTGCACCAAAAACTTATAATACAAAATATTTAGTGAAGTTTATCTGGCCACCAAGCTCATTGTTTCACATTAGTATAAAATCCATAAAGTTTGCCTATAGCTCGTCGTGTTGGTTTTATCAAATAAAAAATCATAAATACATTTAAGAGAAAGACTTGCAATGAAACAACTACCTCCTGAAACAAATAAGCTATCACAAAGTAGAGATCCTTACCCAAGTTCAGAGATCTTCAAATGAGCGTCTGCATGATCTGAAGTAGGGGAGAAACCATGGAACACGTGTTATTAAAGGTGGATTTGCATCAGTATATTGTAAAACAGAGAAACAGAATATCATTTAAACCACTACAAGAAGAAGAAGGTGAAAGCAGATTCAATAATGATCTTAGATCTCCAAGGTTACAGGTGCTTAGCCAATTACCAGAAGACACAGATTCATAGTAAAGGAATAAGCAATATACAAGACTTAGAAATAAATAACTACAATCAGGTAGCATGCATATTTTTATATAAATAAAGTCAACAAATTCATTGGATTGATACCTTATCAGGATTATTTTTAGTAAGCACAGCTCCAACTGCTCCAACTGCTCCACCTAGTGACCTTCCAAACAAAACTATTCTTGATGTATCAATATCTGTCCTCTGAACCAGATGATCTAATGCTGCCTATATGGAAGACAACAGCATATATTAGAACTCAAACTGAATAATATGCATGAAAAACGGTGAGACGAAGTTCTGGGGGCATACAAAACCTGAGTGTCTTTTGTTATTCCATGTTGAGAAGGGTATCCATCACTGGCACCATATCTATTTACAAGAAAAAACAAGCTTAGTATGCATCAAAAAGTTATTGCTAAGGCAAACTACAGGGGGTAAATTCAATAATTTGCATACCCTTGGTATGAAAGCATAAAAACATTGCAGTTCAATCGTTGTAACAATATGCGGACCATTTCAAGACGATGGGCAATATCTGAAGTTGACTAGTTAAGGCTAAACCAAGTGTAACTAAGTAATGATAAGAAATTTGAAAAGAACAAACATCACCCAAAATAACAAGAAAAGGATACTTCCAGCATTTTCCTGAAAAAAGAGGATAGTTGGGCCTGCAATACAAAATTAAACCACCAGCAACCATCATTAGCAAACTCACACAATAAACTGGCAACAAATCATTTATTATCACAATCTGCAACATTCTTAAAGTTATCTGAAAGATTCATTATATTTTATATGTAACAGCTAAGCAACCTAGAGACATTACTACTCAATAACATAGCTATTTACATTTTGCAAAAAAAAAAAAAAAAAAAAAAATCACTTCCCAGCATCTTATAAGTAGATATCATAAATAGAAGTAACAAAATCATTATTGCCACTTCAGATGGACTAATTTCAATTATTAGAATAATTTCCCAAACTCTGCAATCCAACAGCCTATACCTCAGAAATTGAAGCTCATCTAAAAGTATAAACAAATACACCAATACTCCTGTCTATCACCAAGTTACAAGACTGGCATTTGATAGAAAATTAGAAATTAATCTCCTGTTCTGAATTTACCAACAAGTTATTAACACAGACCTTTAGTTCATAATCTCAAATGACCTAGTAAGTTCCAGCTCACGAACTCTTCAGCAAGATCCAAGAGAAAGTGAAAATCAATGGATTCTTAGCAGTAAAGCTACATTTAAAGGGTCTTAGAAATCCCAAAGCATATGTAATTAGATACTCAATATTTCTCTAAGCAAGCCATGAAGAATAAAACAGGCATCTATGGGAGAAAAAAACAGTTTATTACAATAGTTTTGATCTATACTATCAACATTTCAATGAATTAATCATGTAATTAATTAAAGTCTACTGGAACTATATTTTGAATGATGCTTTTGATCTATACTATCAACATTTCAATTCTTGGTTGTAATTGAAACAATATGCCGGCTTGTGGTTGTGCCCTAAGTGGCTACTGAAACTATATTGGAGTTGGTACCATACTGACAATTTGTAATACATTATATTCCAGTGAGATTAGTTGACTGCAGTGCCATATTGGAGCTTATACTTTTTCATTAGCCTTCAAATTTTGGGAGACCTGCAAATGTTTAATTGCTATTTTCATTATCCAACCCATGTTCAAATAATACAACATATTTTTAAAATTATGAACTTAATTTTTTTGAAACTAAATATACCCTTGTTGTAGATGGAAGGGCATCCCCATGGGCCTTCAAATAATGTTGGTGCCTGCAAATTTATATCCAAAGTCTTTTCAGTCAGACAAATTATAAAGCAAAAATGATGCTAATACTCATGTATTTTTTTTTTTTTAAATAGAAGCTTTGAAATCACAAACTGTACCAAGACTTTGGATTTGAGAATCTAAACTTGCTGTAAATTATGAGATTCAATTAACCTGTTCCTTGACAAGGAAAATCTATCAGTATTGGAAAAACTTTTAAAATAAATAAGTTACATCAGGCATTCAACTAAAGCATATGTCAATAATTAATAAGTAATGGATTGGATCAAGTTATGTACTAACGCATTCAACTCTAACATATGATAAGAAATAATTACAAAACTTGGTAGGCTGTTAAATAGCAAACTGTTATCAACATAAACTTGAACAATTTTAATGAAAAGGAGTATGTTAGCAGATATAACTCAATAATGTCTGTAATATAATGTCTGTAAAACTTAAAACTAATAGAACATACATTTGCAGCAGACTCTGATGCAATGTTTAATGACACAAGCTATCATTACTTAGGAAAGAACTCTTCAGTTCCACTGACACACTCATAAAGCACACACATATTGTGCCATTAAAATTCAAATGCCAACTACAACCCTATTTAAATACATTCTATTATGCTCAAACAAATATAAGCACACTATAAAACAGCTATAGTAGGAATTGTAGCGATAATAGAGGAATAGGAGAATAAAGCTCAAAAAAACTTATCTATTTAGGCTATTTTGTTTACCAGAACACAGAAATTCAATCAACAGGTTAATATATCATGCTAGATATAAGAATGAAAACACTCTCAAAAAACGATTTAGGGATTAGGTCTGATCTACGAGAAGAAAAGCGCCAGACAAAGAATTAATTGCATGCACTATTAATCAAACTTAAAATACTAAAAAAAAAAAAAAAGTAATTGAACTTCAATTAAAACGATCTAAAATTTCTATTAGGTTTTCAGAAACAAGAACACTGGGATTACACATAAATATGATGAAAAATACTGAAATTCAAGATATAAAATACATACCTTCCTTCCTATGAACTTAAAAATCAGCTTCTGTTGAGGGATCTTCCAGATGATTGAGGTTTTGACAGTTGTAAGTAAGATTCGAACAGACTGTAATAGAGAGAGATATCTAGAGACGGTAATGTCGATTTCTGCTAGAGGATGAGGGTAACTAAAGTCTGTAAAAGAGGGGATTAAAAGCGAGAGATAGAGAGAGTGTGTCGAGATGATTGCAGAGAGAGAGGACGTCGTGAGAACCTTAGGGCAAATGAATCGGGCGACTGTGCGAGAGAAGTGAGTGTTAAGTCTCGAACTCTAATTTTTGTAATATGTACAATAAATAATTTCTTAAAAGAAAAAAAAAAAGCATTGAATAACTGAAAAAAAAAAAATTCTACATCTTCTTTGTTATCATAAATTCCGACCACCAAGTAGAAGATGGTCGGAAAATCCGACCTTTTTCTGTCCAGTCCAATACTTTGACGGAAAATTGAAAAAAAATTCACTTTTTTCGACCCTTTTTATGAGTGGTCGGAAAAGTGGTCAGAAAAATGATAATTTCCAGCAGTGCATGATGTATAATATAATGCCATTTGATCCCTCCTATTATGCAAGAATCGTTACCTTTCTTTAGCACATAAAGATATATCTATCTACCCGAGGCCATTCTCCCCGAGACAAGCGAGGCAGCGTTCCTCGAATGCGTTTCATCAATCATAGACCGCCGCCTTGAGGAGCTGCCAGAGTCATAGAACAAGTAAACATACAGACAAGTACTAAGATAGCTCATGCATATATATATGTTTTAACTTATTGTGGATGAAGGATAAACAATAAATAGTAGTGTTCCATGCTTTCACCTATATATTGTGCTCAAGAATTGTTCATTTCTAGTAAAGAACTGTCCTGTCTGAAATCTCATATGTATTCATCTGTCTAACAATAAATTTTTTTCAGGTCATTTAGTATGTAAGTTCATCCTCATCCTCAATCTTTGGATGTGTGTTATTATTTTCATTGCGATTGTGTAGTGTGTACAAACAACTAGCCATTATTACTAGAGTACATCACTTGCTTGCAATTGTTATATCGTGCACCAGCATTGTGCGCTCTAAAAATCTCCCGTTTTGTACATACATAATTATACAGTAGAATACACATAAATTCTTAACATAATACACATAAACTCTTAACATAATACATATGAACTCTTAACATAATATATAAATCTTAACATAATACATATAAACCATTACATCATGTTTGGTTCACGGAATGAATTTTGAGGTAATAGAAATGCTATTCCATAAGGAATGGAATAGGCAAGGAATTGAATAGAATAAGAATTGTATTCTATTGTTTGGTTCGCGGAAGGAATAGACTTTAGGAATTATATTACAGTGTTTGGTTGATTTAAGGAATAGAAATGAAATATATTTTAAAAGACATAAATACCCATATAAAAATATGTGATGGTGGCGGTGGTGGTGGCGATGCTGGTGGTGGTGGTGGTGGCGGTGGCGGTGGCGGTGGCGGTGGTTAAATAGGAAATAGAAACTTTAGGCTATTCCTTAGAACTCAGGAATAACCTAATACCAGGGGGGGCCCGGAAATCTCTAGGGGAATAGGTCATTCCCGAAAATAATGTTCCTGGGAATACAAGTGGTTATCAAACAGAGGAATAAACCTATTACTGAGAATGTTATGCCATTCCAAGCCTATTCTGTGAGGCGTAAACCAAATAATACAATGCAAGCAAAAGCTCCTAGATTCATGGAGATATAGAAGAACATATAAGTTATCATGCTTGCATATCCATCATTTGCAATTGTTATACCGTGCACCAGGGCGCGCATAGCACTGTGCGCCCCGTTTCTCCTAAAACGACGTCGTTTTGTTAAGTTATTAAAAAAAATCCCCTATTTCGAATTCACATAAATTCATAATAGAATACACATAATTTTACATAATACATAATACACGTAAACTCTTAACATAATACACATAAACTTTTAATTGAATACACATAATGGGGTTGGTTAACATAATACACATAAACTCTTAACTGAATACACATAAACTCATAACATAATCCACCTAAAATTTTAACTGAATACACATAATGAGGTTTGGTTTATTTAGATGGACGAAGTGACATCAACATGAAACGTGTGCGTTTTGTGCGTAGATGTACATTGCAATGTGCGCCGTGGTGCACGATATAAATTGCCCATCGTTTGAGTTCCAATAATTATTCGTGCACCATATAATTTGCCACTTGCTTGTGATTGGGATATTTAATTAGCAGAAGGCTGAACTGTTGGGCCGTGTGGTTTGTGGACTGCTGTGAAATAATGTTCGCAAATTATGCTACATGGTGCACACAATTACAAAAACGACGTTGTTTTGACTAAAAACGCATGTCTCACTTAAAAAAAAAAAATCAGATTCGATTCCTGAAAATAATATTTTTTTGTGCATAATTTGAATTATATATCCACAAATTCATAACTATATATCCACAAATTCATATCTATATATCTACAAATTTATAACTATATATCCACAGTGAATGAATAACACAAAATTCAGAATGAATGAACTAAATATCCACAACGAATGTACTAAATATCCACAATGAATGAACTAAATATCCACAATGAATGAACTAAATATCAACAAATTCATAACTATATATCCACAATAATGATGTTGAGGGGAATCGGAACTAATTTTTTTTTAAACAAAACACACATTTTTAGTAAAAACGACGTAGTTTTGCAACAGTGTGCACCATACATGGTGCACACGCACGGCTGGAAATTATGAAATTTCCGACCACCTGAAAGTGATCTTAAATTAAGTCAAAACCAAAAAGTGGTCGGAAATAGCAATAAAAATTTTTCCGAATACCAAAAGTGATCGGAACAAGACTTTCCACTTGATTTAATATCACTTTTAGGTGGTTGAAAATTCCATAATTTTCAGCAGTGACGGTTGCACAACATAACTATTCAATAGTGTTGGTATGGTAGCCTTTGGGCCGGTTTTGCTTAGTCTTGTGGACCAGATTTTGCTTAGCCTTTTGGGCCTTTTTTGCATTTAGACCTATATTTGGATCCTTTTATTTTGTAAGGGTTTTGGGCCTATGTTTGTTTAGGCTTTAGCCCTTGTGGATGTTAGCCATGTTGGCTCTTGGTTTATGTTAGGCTTTATGCCAAGAGGTCACTTTTGGTCCTCTTGTGTACAAATTATACTTTGGATCGCGGTTCACAATGCATTGTGGTTCAGGCTTCAAAACGGTGTCGTTTCTTTTAATGAAAAGAAAGGGCACCTCTTACGCACTGTTACACATAAAATAGCATCTGTTTGTATAACATATTCAGTTTCATTTTATATACATTGCAGTTTCATTTCAACACAACTACAGTTTCATTTCGATATAATTACAGTTTCATTTGACATTATACACTCAAATATGTGAAACTGTTATTCAGTTTCGTTTATATGCACTACAGTTTCATTACATCACAACTACAGTATCATTTCGATATAACTACAATTTCATTGGACAATACACTCAAATATGTGAAACAGTTATGCAGTTTCATTTTAGCACAATTAAAGTTTCATTTCGATATAACTGTAGTTTCATTTGACATTATACACTCAAATATATAAATTGTTATTCAGTTTCATTTTATATATACTATCGTTTCATTACAACACAACTATAATATCATTTCGATATAACTACAGTTTCATTGGACAATATACACTCAAATATGTGAAACTATTATTCAGTTTTATTTTATATACACTGCAGTTTCATTTCGACACTACAGTTTTATTTCAATTCAATTACAGTTTCATTTAATATATAAAAAAATATGTGAGATAGTTCCATTTCAAATACACCTGTAGTTTCGTTTGTAATTAACACACTAAAAATACGCACTTTGTTAAAATATAATGACAACCGTTTATTTACTTAAAGAAACGACGCTATTTCTGAATCATAGTCTGGAGATAAATAAAATTTCGTGTTTCAAAAAATAATAATAATAATAATAAACGCCCCAATATAGAATTATAGTTTTTTAGTGATATTAAATTTCATGGGCTGAAAAATGACTTTTTGTTGTGATGCCTTTTTAGGCTAGCTACCTCTGATCCAGTTGTTATACTATGCACCATAGATTCTGGAATTGTACTTCATCGATTCTGAAATTTTAGTTCATAGATTCTGAAATTTTAATTCATTCATTCTGAAATTTTTAGTTCATAGATTAGATTCTGGAATTTTAGTTCATCGATTATGGAATTATAGTTCATCGATTATAGAATTATAGTTCATCGATTATGGAATTATAGTTCATCGATTTTGAAATTTTAGTTCATATGTTGTTGCTGGGAATTTAACCTGATTTTTTTTTTAAGGGGAGACGTGCGTTTTTAATAAAACGACGTCGTTTTTGCATGCATGGTGCATACGGTGCACAGCATAATTTGCCGTGCACTATGGTCTAGATTCATAATTTCTATATTATAGATTTATAAAATCTATATTCTAAATTCATAATTTCTAAACCGTAGATTCATAATTTAAATACAGTAAATTCATAATTTATATATTGCAGATTCATAATATCTGTATTGTAGATTCATAATTTCTAAAGTGTATAGTTATCAAATTATGAACATATAGTTATGCGATTTGTGAATACAGAGTTCAACAATTGGAAATGTGAACATCAAAAATTATGAACATACAACTCTATACTTATGAACATATATTTATAAAATTATGAATCTACAATATATAAATTATGAATCTAAAATCATGTGCACCATGCACGCGGTTGCACAGCATAATTTGCCCCTCTGCTCAACACGGAAACATGAGTATTTTGTTTTCTATCTTGCCCTTGTTTTATTTGCTAATTTTTTTTTTTAAATCTTTTTGATTGTTTTTATGTATTTATATATTTTGTTAACTACTTAGCATAAATTGTGTATTATTATAAATAAAATATATTATTTAAAAGATCTCATCAAAATTATTAAAACAAAACTGATATAGAATATACATTAATTAAAAATTAAAGTACATAGAACGTAATTTGAATAAAATCAAAATGAATACATTCATATTAAAATAATATTATTTATATCACAAATTATATTTTATATTAAATTATAAAATTTGAATTTATAAACTTTTAAATTTTGAGAAATCAAATTATTTTAATGTAAAATAAAATTTATGTAATGGGTTGGATATGAATAAAATTTAGTGTGAGAATATTATTTTTTATTGACATTTAATGAAAATTTTTAATGGTTTGGTGTAAATTGGGTTGGAGATGGGCATGATTGATGTCCAAAAAATTAATGTGGAAAATTAGTAAAATAAGTAATAGTGAACTTACTAATCAAAAAAAGAAAATTAAAAAATGAGTGATAACAAAATATATTTTTACAATTACTATAAACAATTTACATGTTAAATGTTCACAATTAATTGTTGGCGTAGCTGCACAGGCCATCTAGGTTGCAGCGGGAGTGACAGCGACTGTCGCAGCGGGATTGGTTTCCAAAAGGAATGTTCCAACATGGGGGGTTCACAATTAGTGTCAACCAAAAATGCATTTACCGAAAATTTTTAGTGTTATCAATTTTTCACATAACACGAAATATAATAATAACAATAGGAACAACATTTATTTAAATGTATATTGTCACTTAATATCAAATAAAAAGTTTTGTCAATTATTTTGGAGCAAATATCAATTTTAGTCCTACCAGTATTAACAAAATGACAAATTTAGTCCACAAGTTTAATTCCTACCAAAACTCATCCCACAACTATTGTTTTACTACCAAAGTTAATCACTCCGGTCACCGGAGATGTTAAAACACGCCGGATTTTTAAAAGAATAAGGGTACTTTTGTCCATTTGAACACTGGTTCCATTTGAACACGGGTTGTAATGGTTTGTGTTTGTGTTGTAATGGTCTATGTGTGTATTGTAATGGTCTGTGTTGTTAATGGTATGTCCAGATTGTACAGATTGTTCAAAAACTGAGACCATAGTAGTGTTTGTGATACCATTCCTAGGAACATAATTAGTGTTCAAATGGAACCAGTGTTCAAATGGACAAAAGTACTCTTATTCTTTTAAAAATCCGGCATGTTTTAACATCTCCGGTGACCGGAGTGATTAAATTTGATAGTAAAACAATAGTTGTACTGTGGGATGAAAGGATAAACAGTAAATAGTAGTGTTCCATGCTTTCACCTATATATTGTGCTCAAGAATTGTTCATTTCTAGTAAAGAACTGTCCTGTCTGAAATCTCATATGTATTCACCTGTCCAACAATAAATCTTTTCAGGTTATTCTTTTCATTGTGACTGTGTAGTGTGTACAAACAAATAGCCATTTTTACTAGAGTTCATCACTCGTTTGAAGAATCAAATTTAAGTGTTGAGAAAAACGGAATCAAGAGATGAACAAAAAACAAAAACGAAGAAGAGTTTACATGGACCAGCTAGAACACGTACAGAAATGAAGTTAATCTACGGGTTAAGGGAATTGAGAGAAAATTAAAGATGGTAAGAGAAAGTACAGAGATAGATAAGATGGCATCTCCAGCTTGCAAAAGTGACAACAAACTAGCTTGAATTGGCTTCCCGGCCAGTGATTACAAGAATAAAGTGATCTTAGTAGAATTATTCTGTGGAAAGGACGGACGTTCAACATTTTTTCATCCGATCCTCTAGTTCCAAATTTATATGGTGGACCAGGTCCACATAGCGGATTCTAGATCAAAACAACGTTGTATATATATATATATATATATATATATATATATATATATATATATATATTTAAGCTTTAACATATTCTTTAGTTTCTGGTTTATCATGTTTCAACATAATTTTTAAATTTTTCTAGGTACAGAATCAATACTATTAAGGTACAAAATTTCATAACATGAGACATAAAAACTCACAAGACAATAACATATATTTACTCATTCTCCAATCTTATTTATGTAAATAATATATGTTCTATAGACACATAATTTCAAAATACAAGACATAAATTTGTAAACTAAGACACACAATATGTTGTGTGTTACGGAACTACTAATCGATTTCAGGTACAAAATACATATGCTTAAGATACGTAATTGCATAACATGAGACATAAAAAAGCAAAACACAAGACACATACATAATTGTGTAAAGTACATAATCAATATTTTAAGTATGTGTTGGCTAAGGTTATTCCAACAAATACTTATACCACCTGGCCTATACTATATTCCATGATGAGAGTACGTGATGCGTACATGCATGTTACTGTGATGATTATGGTTATTTGGACTTACTATTATTATTAATAATGCATGCATAAGATTCATTGGTCATCAGTTCAAACGCCAAGTGAATCTATCACACGTTATCTAACTGATATAGCTTGTAATCAAGCTTCGAATCCGGGCGCCACCACTGGCTGATCTTGTGCGCCGTCACTAAATCCGGCGAACGCTTCAAATTCATGGTCACATAAGCAGAAGGAATGAGGTGTGACGGCTTAGAATCCTTCCCCATCGCATTCGAAACCATGCTCTTTATTGAATTCCGCGCCGCAAACCGCGCAATTTCTCCGGCCCCGGCCGCCGCCATCCTCTCCCTGTGTCGGAAGTATTCCAGGTATCCAAAGCAAATGGGATCCGACGGGTTGATGAACAAGTATGGAACCCATGGGGACAGTAGACTGAACTCTTCATCGTCTTCTGCAATTTTCTTGTTCTTCACGGCAGCACCCATCCCGACGGCCACGCCGGCCTTGAAGACGGTGTGGACAAAATGAGCCCCTCCCCGGAGCTTCGAGTTCTTGATTAACTGTATCGGCAGCGACGCAAACGGGGGATTGAACAGATAGGTTTCCAAATGGCAACCCGTTTTCAGTACCATGTTTCTCCCGACAAGCAAAGCTATTGAGGATCCTAAGGAATGTCCGGCCAACCAGACATTCTTGGCCCCGACCTTGGAAACCGCGTCCATGACGGCCTGAAATCCTTCATGGACGCGGTGGCTGTTGTGGAGGGTGTTTTGGACGATATGGCGGTCGAGTCTAATATCCTGTGACCAGCTCTCGAGTCTTATCAGTGTTCCCCGAAATGCAATTACTTGTTTCGGGGATTTCCCCGTTTGGGACGAAAATTTTAGCTCATATACAGCCCCAAAGAAGGACTGATCTTCGGGATCTACTAAAACCTGGATTAACTTGAACCCGAAGAATTCCCCCCACGACGGAGCTTTGGCCCGAGGGCCACCGTGGCGGCGTTTCTGCCGGTCCATTTCCAGGATGTAGGCACCTTCCACCAAGCTGGCAGCGACGGAGCTCCGGTGCCTGAAGTTGCTCCTGCAACAACACAACAAAATATATAGTGTCATCATATCATCACATGCCAGTTCAAAATCAAACCAAAATAGTTTGAAATGGAGGGAAACTCAGCCAAAACTAGAAATGAGCATATATATATATATATATATATATATATATATACCAATCAACAGCAGTGAGATGTAAAGGGCCGGCGACGTTGAAGTTCTCCCTTTGATCTTCCCACCCACACGCCATGGATTTCAGACCTCCCTTAGCTTCTTCGCTGGACACAATGTTAGTTGCGTATATAATTCAGTAGTTCTTGGTTGTTCTCATATATAAAGGAGGGTGGGGGGAAGTAAAAATGACCGGAAAATTGGAGAAAGATGGGTGTAGATAAGAAGGCATATATCTCAAACTTGCAATAGTTACGAGTGACGTAACTGGTCTGATGTCAGAAGTGAGTACGTATGTAGAATTATTCCATGCATGAGAGTTGACTCACTACTTGACTCCACTGATGACCGGCCAGTAATTCTGCATTCATCCACACCGAACATTTTCATTTTTCAAGATGCCTGCGCCAATACTTCATTCGATTATGAGTAAGTACACATGATGGTGATGAATAGTGAGAGTGTGAAATTTACATTTAAAGGTCTTGTTTAGTAACATAGTTAGTTTATGGGTTTATTTTATTTTATTTGATCATTATTAGCTATTTGATTTGGTTAAAAAATTGATATGGGTGTTTGATAAATTAGCTTTTTGTAATAATTTATTGGTTCAAAATGATAAAATTCAAAAAACAGTTCAAAGTAACTTTTTTGGTAAGCTTTTTAAAAAAATCATTTTGCATGTAATCACCTATCAAGTAACAGTTAATTTAGCAAACATTTTTCTACCATCAGCTAATGTTATCAACTAGTCAAAACCACTAACTTAATCCGTTACCAGCTATTTATCAAACACCTCCTTAATGCACGTGATAAGCTCTTTGTGGGCTCCGGACATTGATATTCTTTAAACTATTGAATCACCTTAATTTACATATTCATTATCTTGTTGGAGTTGAGCCTCTGAAACTTGTTTGTGGGTCGCAAGAATCAAACCATATTATATCTTGATAGAATCTTCATTTTTCTCTTTTGAAGACTAATAACGAGATAAATTAAGAAATTATCTTAAATTAGTTGATAAGTTTAACTGTATCCTACATTAGGTATGAATAAAAAACAGCACACAGTGTTCGAAAATACACCTAATATATATATTTTTAATGTATTGTGTATTTTATGGTGTATTTTTACACTTTATTATTGTGTGTGTTCGCATTTGAGCAATTTCTAGTATCGATAGTACTTAATGGATCGAACTCAGTAGAAAATAGGTTGATATACAAACAAGGGAGGGAAAATAATAATGATATTAATTAGGCGTTAGACCAACGAAATATTTACAAGTTGAGCTGCCTATTAAATAAATAAATGAATAATAAAATGGCTACTCCTACCCAAGGCCCTAAAGACTAGAACACAATAGCCAAAGTAGTCCGAGTCAAGTTCACATGAGACTTGGGAGCATTATGTTGCGTAGCTGTGTACGCTCATGCAATCTGCACACACAATTAGATTCATAATTTCTATATTGTAGATTCATTATTTTTATATTGTAAATTCATAATTTTTAAATTGTAGATTTATAATTTCTATACTTCAAATTTATAATATCTCCACTGTAGATTCATAATTTTTAAACTGTATAGTTATCAAATTATGAACATATAGTTCTGTGATTTATGAATACAGAGTTCAACAATTGGGAATATGAACATAGAGTTTTATAATTGTGAATATAGAGTTCAATAATTATAAATCTATAGTATAGAAATTATAAATCTATAATATAAAAATTATAATCCAATTTCGTGTACACCATGCATGGTGCACACGGTTGCACAGCATAATTTGCCGGCCAGAAACTTGATTGCCAGCCCCAATACCACTTCTCCAAGCCCAAGCCATTACTTCAATTCTCAAAAAATCTATGATAATTTATATAGTATTCAAGTGATAATTATAATTAATAGTGTTGATTTTCATTTCGTTAAGCGATCTGTGAATCATGGTGCACACAATATTGTTTGGGAGACTGTTTTTGTTGTCAAGTTACAGGGAGTAGTTATGTGGTTGGACATTTTGTCTATGTTTCTAGTTGACCGTCTTTCTTATGATTGAATGAATTAAAATTGTTGCATTTAAAAAAAAAAAGAAAAAACAAACAAACAAACTTAATCGTGTACAAATATGAGAACATCTTATGAATTAAATTGTATTCAAAAAAAAAAAAAAAAAAAAACTTATGAATTAATTTTTTTTCTCAAATTTACATCTTACTAATTAATTTGGTTATCAAAATAAATAGAAATAAGGGTCAAATAGGCCATTCAACTGCGCACTCAATTGCAATTAGGCCATCGAACTAAAAAAGAATGCAATTGGATCTCGGAACAACACAATATCATGCAATTCTATCCAAAAATAACCTGTTTACCTGGAGATCCGGTTACCAAATTTAAAAATATATATTTTTTAATAATTTTAAATTAAAAAAATCTATAAAAAAAATAAAAAATAAAAAACTACATCGTCTCCGCCGGAGACGAAGAAGACTTCTTCGTTTCCGGCGGAGACGAAGGGATCTTCGTCTCAGGCCGTCTCCCTGGCCGGGGAAACGGCCTGAGACGAAAGTGGCTTCGTCTCAGGCCGTCTCCATGGCCGGGGAGACGGCCCAAGACGAAGCTGCCACTTCGTCTCCGGTAGAGACGAAGTGGCAGGCAACTCTCAGGCCGTCTCCCCGGCCATGGAGACGGCCTGAGACGAAGCCACTTTCGTCTCAGGCCGTTTCCTCGGTCAGGGAGACGGCCCGAGACGAAGATCCCTTCGTCTCCGCCGGAAATGAATGGTTTTTTTTTTTTTTTTTTTTTTTTAATTTAAATTTAAATTATTATTTAAAACTATTTAAAAAATATTTTTTAAAATTGGGTAACCACCTTTCCATGTACACAAGTTAATTTGGATTGAATTGCATGCATTTGCGTTGTTCAGGGACCCGATTGCATTCATTTTGAGTTTGATGGCCCAATTGCAATTTGGTGCGCAGTTGAGTGGTCTATTTGACCCTTATTCCAAAAAAATAAAGTTGGACTTTTCCATTACTTTATTACTTCTGCAAATGGTAAACTTGTATGATTGGCCAGTTTTTTTTTTTTTTTTTTTTTTTTTTGAATGCTACTAGCTCTATTACATTATAGTATCTGTAACGCCTCCACTAAGGCTTGAACTTACAAGTTTCTAAATGGAAGTTCAACCCGGTACCATTAGACTACATAGTCCTGGTATGATTGGCAGTTTAATTAAACTCTAAGTAAATTAATCACTTGTTATCTAACTGATATAGCTTGTAATCAAGCTTCAAATCCGGCCGCCACCACTGTCTGAGCTTGTGTGCCACCATTAAATCCGGCGAACGGTTCAAATCTAAGATCACATAAGCAGAAGGAATGAGGTGTGACGGCTTAGAATCCTTCCCCCACGCATTCGAAACCATGCTCCTTACTGAATTCCGCTCCGCAAACCGCGCAATTTCTCCGGCCCCACCCGCCGCTTTCTTTTCACTTTGCCGGAAATGTTCCAGATATCCAGCGCAAATCGTATCCAACGGGTTGATGAACAAGTATGGAATCCATGGGGACAGTACACTGAACTCTTCTTTGTCTTCGGCAATTTTCATGTTCTTCACGACAGCACTCATCCCGACGGCCACTCCGGCTTTGACGACGGTGTGGGCAAAATGAAGCCCTCCCCGGAGCTTCTCGCTCTTGATGAAATGTCTCGGCAGCGACGCAAACGGGGGATTGAACAGATAGGTTTCCAAATGGTAACCCATTTTCAGTACCATGTTTCTCCCGACCAGCAATGCGATTGCGGATCCTAAGGAATGTCCGGCCAACCAGACATCCTTGGCGCCGGCCACGGAAACGACGGCCTGGACGGCCTGAAATCCAACGTCGAAGCGGGGGCTGTTGTGGAGGGTGTTGTCGATGATCTTGACATCGAGTCTGATATCCTGCTTATTCTTCAGCAGCGTTCCCCGGAACGCAATCACGTGTTTCGGAGGATTCCCGCCGCCGCCGCCGCCGGCCGGCCGGTGTGGCGAGAATTTCAGGTCGTATATAGCGCCGAAGATGGACTGATCTTCCGGATCTACTAGCACCTGCCTTAGCTGGAACCCGAAGAACTCACACCAGGAAGAATCAGGAGCGCCGCCGCCTCTGTGGCGGCGTTTCGGGCGGTCTTCTTCGAGTTTGTACGCTCCTTCCACCAAGCACGCCGCGACAGAGCTCCGGTCACTGGAGTTGCTCCTATAAGGACACACAATAGAGTGAATAAGAAAGCTGAAAGCTGAAAAGCTAGAAACTGGAAATATAAGTTATAAATTCTTAAATAAGCTCCCCAAATAGAGCCATACTATTATTTCATAAGAATAGGAGATGACTGGAATGCATGCACAATAAGAACTAATAGATGTAATAACTTAACGTACCAATCAACAGCACTAAAATGTAAATGCCCGACGTCATTGAAAATCCCTCTCTCACACACCATTATATTGATTTCAGAGCTCCCTTCTTAACTCCTTACCAGATCGGAAACGACTGTCACTACAGATTACAATTAAGCTCTGGGAAGAAGACGATTATATTTATATATATATATATATATATATACACGGTAGGACACAGTCATTGAAATGGTCAACAGAATACAAGTTGGCTCGGAAGTGTAAAGTCAATGCTTGGTATTCTCGCTTTTGCACAGGTGGGCATTAATTACACCGGTAGGTCAAAATGAAAATTCTAAATATATAATATAGTTTTTTAAAAATTTCAACTTAAGTCCAATTATGATCAACTTAACAAATAAGTGTGAAATTATTCCTGCATAATTAGACTTACTTTTCAGTATCAATTGATTGTATTTTTTTTTTAAATAATTATTTTATCAAATACTTTTATACAAACTATTAATGTTATTTATGTCAAAATAGTTAATTAATACACTCAACTATCATGCCAGTGATCCACTGGTACCAAGTTGCTCCCCTATGTGGGAGGTATTGGGTTAATACATTCGACTATCATTTATCAGATCTGGTAATTAATACAAGGAATAAGGTTCAAATTGGCCACTGAACGTAACTTGAAAATGCAATTAGGCCACTGAACGAATAAGGTATTGGGTTAATACATTCGACTATCATTTATCAGATCTGGTAAATAAATTATTTAAAATTTATTAAAAATGCCAACTCAGCTGCCACGTAAGCAGGTAACCTGCTAAAATTGATGGTAACCTGCTATCCGGTGAAATTGCATACGTTTGGAGAGTTCAGTGGCCTAATTGCACGTTTTTGGAGTGTTGAGTGGTCTAATTGCATTTTCAGGTTACGTTTAGTGGCGAATTTGAACTTTAAGCTAACAACTAGGTATTAAATTAGTGTTAGTATCATTAGTAATATTACTATGGAAAAAGCCATTTGATATAATAGAATAAGGTAACAACTAACAACTAGGTATTAAATTAGTGTTAGTATGATTAGTAATATTAGTACGGAGCAGGTATTTGTTTAAACTAACCATTTTAGAAAAGCCAGTTGATATAATAATAATAGAATAAGTGGCAACTAAAACAAAGTTGATGAATTCTCTTACTACATATATATTTTCTTGAAAGTCAACGCTAACACCCTAGATCGGAGCATCATGCATGCAACTGGCATAAATATAATTTTAACGAAAAACCCACAAGAGGGGAGAATAAGGAGCCATCATGCAAATATAGGTGGCAAATAATTAATATTCCCTTGAGGAATGGAGGCTGGACGTACGGCAGAAGGCTTCAGCGGCATGTTGTAGCATGGTGGAAGGAAAATTATGTTTCAGCCTCAGCGACTCATGATCATAGTCAAATGGATGAAGGAGTATCTCTACCTGTAGGAACCGTAAGATGCAATGTTGATGCGGCAATGTTGATGCGGCATTGTTCGTTTGTAATCATCTTGGCCATTTTGTTGCAGCTACTAGTGGTCGTCGCAATTGTGAAAATGACCCATATCTTGTAGAGGCAATAACAGTTAAAGAATCCCTTACCTGGTTAAAGAGTCTTGGTTTATTATAATCAGATTATTAAGCAATATCGTATTATTGCTAGGGATATTAGGAGAATCAAGTGGCTCACGTTCTTGCAAGGGCAACTGGTTCTATGTCTGTCCTAGGTTCGTAGGTTTCTTCCCCACCAGACTGTATTTCTCATTTCTTCACTGATTAATGGATCATATTTCTTCTCGTTTAAAAAAAAAATAGTCTCATCAGATCGATTCATGATGTGTTCCAGAGCCAAACATAAAAGATTCATTTGTTGGCTGGCATGGGGCCGTTTATGCATTCCTAAGAAGTTTGGTGGTTTGTGATTCAAAGATTTGGGTGTGTTTAATTTGGCAATGTTCCATAAGCATTTCCTTACTGAGACACAATCGTTGGCTGGGTTTACAAAATATTTCCCTAAATCCTCTTTATTGATGCCACTTTGATAGTCGTCCTAGTTTCTGCTAGAAATGTAGGCAAATTATGATGTGCATCCGTATGCACCATGCATGGTGCATACGGATGCAAAAACGACGTCGTTTTAATAAAACGCGTGTCTCCCCTTTAAAAAAAATAATAATTTCATAATCGATGAACTATAATTCCATAATCTAATCTATGAACAAAAATTTTCAGAATGAATGAACTAAAATTCCATAATCTATAAACTAAAATTTCAGAATCGATGAACTACAATTCCATAATCGATGAACTACAATTCCATAATCGATGAACTATAATTCCATAATCAATGAACTATAATTCCATAATCAATGAACTATAATTCCAGAATGAATGAACAATATAATGTTGTTGCTGGGAATCGAACCTGAATTTTTTTTAAAAGGGAGACGCGCGTTTTTTAATAAAACGACGTCGTTTTGGCGTCCGTATGCACCATGCATGCACAGCATAACGATTGAGAAATGTATTATGGTTGCTCATGGGCTGATTCGTAGTGGAATAAGACATAGAATTGGCCATAGGGCCAACACTTTGGTTTAGGGTGACTCATGGCTGTTAGATACTTAGATGATACAATCCGTGGCACAACGGTTGCATGCTTGATCGACCCATCAACACATTTATCTTTGTTAAGATTTATTCTTACCATCGGATATCGAGAGTATCACATGTGTTTTTATAAGCCCTGACTTTGAGGACTCATGGTACTGGTATGGAGACCTACGAAGTTGCTACACTATCAAAAGAGGCTATAGAGATATTCTGGGTGAATGTATTGATGAACAACCTACTGGTTTTAAGAATTGGTCAAAGTTATGGAAGTTAAAGGTCCCTCCTAATGGAGGACCTTCCTTTGGAAAGCTATGAAAGATATTTGGATGCATGCTTTGATCCACGGTCGGGCAAGGCCTCATTTGGTGCTATAATCCTATCACCGGCAGGAGATTTTATTGCAGCAGCTAGTGGTCCTCTGCCACATTGGTCATCTCCATTAATGGCTGAAACCATGACTTGCAAGCTAAGGAAGCTCTCACATGGCTGAAAAATCAGGGGAGACTAAAATTCACATATACTCGGACTGCTCCAACCTTTGTCTCAATCTGGCATCTTCTTCGGCTAATCTTAGGTCCTATATTGACATTTAGTGAGTGTATGAACGTAATGTGTTCTTTCATTGTTTGCTCTATTCATTTTGTTTCACGGTCTTCTAAGTTCTTTAGCTCACACTTTAGCTACAACACCCTATTTTTATGCTAACAATCTGAACTGGGACTATGTCCTTCCTCTGTTTTGTTTTTTTTTTTTTTTTTGAGAAAGATGTGCCTCCTGTTTTTGTATCAACACTTTTATAAATCAACTTTTGACTTGCCTTCAAAAAAAACAGAATACTAAATGTAATTATAATATTGCAACGAACCATGCATCTACGGCGGCATCGTTCATCGGTCGTTACTAATAAGAGAAAGTGGATGAGGGCATGCGGTGGCAACCGCCACCACCTCCACCGTCCTCCGCCGCATGCAGGGTCGGACGAAGAGATGGCTGCGCAGTGCAGCGGTGGATCGGAGGGCCATTGGAGATTAATGTGCGAAAGGTGGTTGAAGGATCGATGTGGAGACGCTACCGTTCCGGCCTTGAGAGTTGAGATCAATGGAAATACACTACGATATGCTGTTTTCTCGCCAAATATGTGGTTACGCACGTGCACAGTGCAGGCATGGTGGAACTGGACAAAACCATGGTTGATAAAATGGAGGTGCAGGGAATTGAACCCCGTGCCTCTCGCATGCGAAGCAAGCACTCTACCATATGAGCTACACTCCCTGATTGGCTTTAGGTTCGTAAAACATTAAAGATAATATATTAAGCGGTTCGTCATGGCAAACAATTCAGCAAGATGATCATGTTCATGGCACGTGTCGTGGTGTGAACGTCTGAATATGATCATCCCCGAACAATTCACAAGACAAAAAAATATAAATCCGCCCGTCCCAAAGTTAGTTTAAGTGGTCACTGGTCACATTAAGCAACCTAAGCCTTACTTTTAAAAGTAAAAATTTTAAACTTCATTAAGAACTTGAGACATAATAGAGAATTAGAGCTACCAACCAATAAGTTGGGTTGCAAGTGTGTACATATTGGGTTGAACCGAGCCGAACATAATTAATATGGTGAAGTACCGTCATTCACAAAATGTCAAGTTTGGCTGTGTTCATTTTTAACAAGTTTTTTTTTTTTTTTAAATACATTTAGGGAAAAAAAAATGATATATGGACACTCATATTTTATCGATAACAGATAAAGAGAGTAATAAAAAATTATTTTATTGGTTTTTGTATAACTCATATAAGGGGAATTAGCACACGAGCAACACACAAGTTTTATATTTATTTTACGTGTTATGGTTATTTATTTTCTAGTCAAGTGTTTTATGTATTCTTTGAGTTGACACTATTTTGCATTTATGAGACAATAAGTTTGAAATGCTATTTGCGTGAAGCTCAATCTAATGTTTGACTCAATTTCTTTTCACTAGTACAGATCTACACATCTGCTACCCTTGAGGACAAGCAAATAAACCAAGTGACTATGGTCCAATAGGCCTATACAAGGCTCTAGAAGCACCATTATTCATGTTGAGCTAAACTAGCCAAATTATTCTGTGGACCGGAGTCCACCCTGCAAGGTGGATCCAAGTTTAAAAATACACAATTTATATATTGAATGTTCACAATTTACATATTAAATGTTCATAATTTAAATTGTGAACATTCAATATGTAAATGATGTATTTTGGACCCGATCCACCTTGCAAGGTGGATCCAGGTCCATGGAATAATTGCTGGCAAAACTAAGTGTACAATATATATATACTCCGTATAACATTCAAATGATAATTATTATTATTATTTTTTAAAGAAATATAGAAGATTTTATTAAAACATATGTTCAATACAGAAGGAATCAAATTTAACCAACATAGAGGACCAGGTTGGGAACGAGTAGCTCTTGCTAAAGCATGAGCGAACTTATTCACTTATCTCGGAATAAACTGAATAGACACTGATTCAAAGTGTCGTTGAAATGATCGGTAACTGCAAATATGACGTATCATCCCACAAAGATTGAACATGTGTACACCCAATAAATAAATGGCATATGGTCTCCGGCTGCTGCTTACAAAGATGGCAAGTCGTATCAACGTCCATTCTCCTCGAAGCTAAGGCTGTCATTGTTGGCAGAACACCATGTAAGCATCTCAACAGAAAATTTAGCACATTAGGTGGAATTTTGAGCCTCCACAGGTCTTTCCAGGCAAAGTTTATGTGCTGATCATTAGTAATAGAAGAGATCAACCTGTGGCCATGTTTCAAATGATAATTATATTCAAGAGTTAATTAACCATTGTGGGAATGTTTTTTTGAATGTGTGATTAATTAAAACATATGTAAAAATGTTGTGTTTCTGAGTGTGTACAAATATGAGAACATCTTATGAATTAATTTCGTAAAGTTTTTATTTTCTCTCAAATTTACATCTTACCAATTAATTTGGTTATCAAAATAAAGTTGGACTTTTTCATTACTTTATTCTTCTAAAAAGGCTGAACTCCAACCTTAAGGGCACTCACACCCCGACCTGACAGAGCATTTGGGAGGACTTTCCATTACTTTATTACTTCTGCAAATGGTAAACTTGTATCATTGGCCAGTTTAAACTCCAAAAATTAAAATCACTTGTTATCTAAACTGATATAGCTTGTAATCAAGCTCCAAATCCGGCCGCCACCACTGGCTGAGCTTGTGTGCCGCCATTAAATCCGGCGAATGATTCAAGTTTATCGTCAGATGAGCAGAAGGAATGAGGTGTGACGGCTCGGAATCCTTCCCACTTGCACTCATAATCATGCTCCTTACTGAGTTCCTCGCCGCAAACCGCCCAATCTCTCCGGCCCCGGCCGCCACCGTCGTCTCTCTGTCCTTGAAGTAATCCAGGTATTCAGCGCAAATGGGATCAGACGGGTTGATAAACAGGTATGGAATCCATGGAAACAGTAGAGTGAAAGCTTCATCGTCTTCTGCGATTTTCTTGTTCTGGACGACAGTACTCATCGCGACGGCCATTCCGGCTTTGATGACGGTGTGGGCCAAACGAAGCCCATGCCGGAGTTTCTCGTTCTTGATTATATGTACCGGCAGAGACACGAACGGGGGATTGAACAGATAGGTTTCCAAATGGTGACCCATTTTTAGTACCATGTTTCTCCCGACCAGTAATGCGATTGCGGATCCTAAGGAATATCCGGCCAACCAGACATCCTTGGCCCCGACCTTGGAAACCGCAACCTGGACGGCCTGCAATCCGTCATGGACGCGGTGGCTGTTGTGGAGGGTGTTTTGGACGATATAGCGGTCGAGTTTAATATCCTGTGACCAGCTCTCGGGTCGTATGAGTGTTCCCCGAAATGCAATTACTTGTTTCGGGGGTTTCCCAGATTGGGACGAGAATTTTAGCTCATATACAGCGCCAAAGATTGACTGATCTTCTGGATCTACTAAAACCTGGATTAACTTGAACCCGAAGAATTCCCACCACAAAGGAGCTTTGGCCCGAGGTCCACCGTTGCGGCGATTCTGCCGATCCATTTCCAGAATTTTGGCACCTTCCACCAAGCTGGCAGCGACGGAGCTCCGGTGTCTGAAGTTGCTCCTGCAACAATACAACACAGAATAGTGTCATCATTACATGCCAGTTCAAAAGCAAACCACAGCCAAATTAATCATGTTGTTGACTAATCACAAGTGCCATTTTGACTTCCCATGAGAGAGGCTTATAAACTTATTGGTTTTTTTTTTTTTTTTAATTTGAACCAGTCAGATTTATTTTAGAACACTATACACACCATTTGGTAGTAGTTATCTAGTCACTTAAAGGAAAAAAAAAAAAAAAAAAAAAAATTGAACCACTAAACAAAAAAGAGTTCAAATAAACCACTAAACCAGATACCAAAGTTCAATTGAGCCATCAAACTAAAAATAAAAAAGTCAATTAAACTACTCAACATTAAAAAATCATCTAATTTTTTATTTCCATATAATCAATTGTTTCAAGTTATATACGGTCATGTAGGTTAAATAATTTTTCTTTATTCTATTGATTGTTGGTGGCATAAATTCTTAAGAACTACTCAAAATGTAACATGCATGAACTTGAAACAACCAATTATATAAATAAAAAAAATTTTGAAAATATGTCAAATAAACCTTCAAACTTTAGTTGAAAAATCAATTAGAACCTTAAACTTTTTAAATATGCAATTACACACATCAACAATTTTATTTTTATGCAAAAAAAAAAAAAAAAAAAAAAAAAAAAAAAAAAAACCCTACTATTAAGGTTCGCGGCCACGACAAAAAAAATGATCGGCCACCGGTCGCCGATCACGGAGAAGACACCAAGGTTGCCTCCTCGGGCGATATGATGGTGCATGTTTTCCACCTGGACACGGATTTCGATTTCAACAGCGCAAGCATGACGGCGCCTTCCACGCCCAGAGGGTTCGGGATTACTATCTCGGCGCTCCGGCCAGCTCCTCTCATCTCTCGCAGCTTTACCGCAATTTCGATGATTTCTTGATTGATGATGATGGTGATGGGAAATTCGCTGCCGCCTACGGTGTTTCGTTCTCCTGGGAGGAAAAGCCCAGAAAATCTAAGAAGGGGAAGGATGCTTTTTTTTTTTTTTTTTTTTTTTTTTCATGTTTGATGTCAAATTGTCGAGGAAGAGTGTGAAACGGCTTCTTTGTCGTCTGAGGAGCTTTTTGACAGTGGGATGATTAAGCCCATCGAACCTTCTCCTCCTTCTGGCTATGGCGGACGGAGGAAGATGAGCAAGATTACATTGGAGTTTTCTCACCGAGACACAAGAGAAAAAGTGAGTCTTTTGCAGTGGCTTGCCGGAGAAGGAGAATTTGGTATTATCTTCTCCAACTTGCAAAGAAGACAGAATAACCTAAGCCAGTCGGAGACGTGCTGGATGAGTTTGCCAGCCTGAGGCCCAAGATTGCCACCCAAGAGAGATGTGAATCATCACATAGAGTTCAGTCCACCTTACCATATGGCATTACCAGAGTTGCGGAGGCTGCTCAAGGAGCTTCGTGATGTTCGGCGACCATTCGCCGATTTGTGTGAAATTTTGTATGGGAGTAGTCGGAACTCGAATGACCTGTGATAGTAGGTCATTAACTGATCTTTTGGCTTCTTGCATCAAAATAAATTGTTGATTCTTTAAAGAATTTAGAAGGCTAATTGATTTTCTAAAGTTCAAGAGCCTATTTGACCATTTTCTAAAAAAAAAAAAATTGATGACTTTTGGATGTTAAGTGGTTTAATTGAACTTTTTTTTTCAGTGATTCAATTGAACTTTAATCTTTGGTTCAGTGGTGTATTTGATCTTTCTTCTTTTTTTTTTTTTTTTTTCCAAAAATAAAAATTAGAAATGAGCATATATACCAATCAACAGCAGTGAGATGTAAAGGGCCAGCGACGTTGAAGTTCCCCCTTTGATCTTCCCCCCCACACGCCATGGATTTCAGAGTTCCCTTAGCTTCTTCGCTGGACACAATGTTGTTGTGTATATAATTCAGTTCTTGGTTCTAGTTAGCTAGCTAGGTTACTCTCATAGTCTCATATATAAAGGGAAAAAAAAAAAGAAGTAAAAGATGATCGGAAAACTAGAATCAATCGATGTAGATAAGGAGGCATATATCTCAACCTTGGAATAGTTATGACTGACCTAACTGATCTGATGTCAGTTTTTTTTTTTTTTTTTTTACATTATATTAATTCTACAGTCATCCACACCCAACATTATCAAGATGCCTGCACCAACAGTTTTTTTTTTTAAGGGACCAACAGTTTAATTATTTATTTATAAGTGACAGATTATGAGTAAGGGATACATGATCACGCTAAATAGTGATTGTAAAAATTACATTTTGGATCCGTTTAAAAAGTAAAAAAATGACTTTTGAAAAATATTTTTTAGAAATGAGTCATTTTTAAGAAAAATATTTTCCTTTAGTGTTTGGCACGACAAAAACAACTATTTTTGTGTGTTTAGTTCATTTTCTTATGATTTCCGCCGAAAATCTTATTCTGAGTGTAACAAAAAATTACTACCACCAAAATTTGACAAAATAACTAGATTTTTCCTAGTCAACAGAAAATGTTTTTTGTTGACTGAATTTTCTAATTGCATCCAAACACTAAAAACCCAGAAATCATTTTTCGGATTTCCAAACATAACCTTAATGTACATGATAAGTTCTTTGTGAGCTCTGAACCGTGATATATTATGAACTATTGAATCACATTAATTTACCTATTTATTATCCATTTGTGGTTGAGCCTTTGAAAGCTGTCTACACGTAGCAAGAATCAAACCATATTAATTATATCTTGATAAAGTCTTCACCATTCCACTTTTGAAGACTAATATAATGGAGGGGATGAATTAAGAGATTATTTTAAATTAGTTGTCCGATATTCCCAACTAATAAGGCATCCGATCTATTCAATTATGGTCCAGCGAATACAGTACCAACACGTGTCCTAAAGACATGCACTAAAGACGGGAATCATTGACTTTTTTAAAAGAGCAAATACCAATTTTCATCCCACAAGTATTATAAAATGACAACTTTAATTCACATGTTTAATTTCTACCAAAACTAATCTCACAATTATTATTTTACTACCAAATTAAAGTTAATCACTCCGGTCACCGGAGATGTTAAAACATGCCGGAGTCACTTTGGATATTGATGATATATAATAAGGAACGATAAGGAACTTAAATTAATAGATGTCTTGACAGTACATTCATCACCATTCATCCCATGGACCACAGCTATTCACAATATAAAATAAATGAATGCATTAACTTACACTCCCATCTTACAGCAAAACTCACCACCATAAATTTAACAAAATTCACTATATATAGAGATAGTCTTGCTTGAATAAGTATTTTGACAGCAAAATTCACAGCAGATATGATCCTATTTCAATTAGTATTTTGATAGCAAAATTACAGAAAAATAATTATTTTCACAGCTTACAAAAAGGATTCAATAACAAGAACAATTATTAGGGAGGAAAGAAGGATTAAGGATTAGGGTACGAATGACATACATTAATCAGGCTATTAAGTTTAATAATGGCATCCGGCGACCAAAGTGACTCCGGTGTGTTTTAACATTTCTGGTGACCGGAGTGATTAACTTTGGTAGTAAAACAATAGTTGTAGGATGAGTTTTGGTAAGAATTAAACATGTGGAAAAATTGTCATTTTGTTAATACTCGTGGGATGAAAATTGGTATTTGCTCTTTATTAAAATGTATTAATATACTAATAGAGTCAATAGTATTTGGAAAAAAAAAAAAAAAAGTACTAATGTTAATACTATGATTTGAATTGTTTTAGTGTTTATATAATTCAAAGTATATTATAATTGTCACTAAAATAAACATTTGCAACTTTATAATAACGCTATTGTCTAAATAAATACTACTTTTGATTTAAATTTTTCTAAGTCTTCTTAATTCTATTTTGGGTATCATTGTTATTGTCTTTATCTTCAGTACTTGTCCGTTTTTTTTTTTTAATTATTGGTAATGTGTCATGTGAAATTGGGTTACTGGTGGTAGCATAGAGGGCAGCGTCATGCAATGAAATTATGATGTAGGAAGTTTTAGATTTGCCTTACTGTGTATATGATTGAGATCTTAGTTGTACTATGAACTCTGTATCTTGCAAGCGCTTGTTGATATTTGGCAGTGGTAGTTTTTTCCCATACATGTTTCATGAATTGTGAGATGTGTGTCGTAGATTATTATGTGAAAGTATTGACTAAAATATTAATATTTATTATATTTGTATAAAATACTTGATAAATAAATATATATTACATATTTTGTATTAATAACTGTATTTTGATATTTAATTACAAGATACTGTAAAAAGAAGTCAATGAACAATGTAGTGAATATAATTAATTAATGATTTTGAAGGTAACGAATCTTTGAATTGTAGAAAATAATGATAATATAACTAATAAAATTATATCTCTTTTTTTATTTTTTTTATAATGAATATTTTTTTTAAAATAAAGGCATTATAGACATCTAATTCTAAATTAATTAAATACATGTGTATTATTTTTAGTTGTAGCTACTAATTTATTTAATTTAATAAGAGAAATAAAGTGGGGTACTTAATTTTCATCTACAACAATAAAGTTATTGATTTTTTTTTATTTCTATTCGTTGTTGAGACAGATTGTTATGGGAGTTTGTCAATGACAATTGCTACAATTGTTGTCAATAAAGGATGATAATTAATAAATAATTTGAAATATATGGTTACAATAGATATTGATATATTAAAAATTAACTTACAAATTTCTTCAGAAATTTTTATGTATTGATAAAATTATGAGAATGATGTGTAAACTTGTTCAATTTGAGCCCAGTGAGATGTCAACATTGTATTCTTTGGAAAATGGTCTATATCCTTTTAGAGTCCATGTGTAGTTATATTTTTTATCAACAACTTTGTAGTTAGGTCGTGCAAGTCTGACAATGATGTAAGAACAATTTTGTCCGATAAAAAATAATAGTACAATATCTAAAAACATAATAAGTCTCAATCAAGGTTATACCTTTGATTTATGTCCTTCTTTTTGTATGCTAATAGATGTATACATTTTACTTTAAATGTTGTACATTCTAATGTTAATAGACAAAACTACCCTTACACCGTTACTTTTTAATTCTTTAACATTTATAACTACATCATTATTACAATACACCTATATCTATCATACTATCATATCTTTTTCCTATCCTTTAATTATCATTTTATTAAAATCATTATATAATTAATTTAATGAATTTTTTTGACAAAATTAATTTAATGATTGATTATATTTGAATTAAATTTCTAATGTAAACCATATATGTGTTTGTACAAAATGCATATATTATTTGTGTATATATAATTCGATTATAATTTTTAATTATTTGTATTTATCAATGTTTTAATATTGGGCATGAATTTTCGCGCATCGCGCGTACAAAATGCTAGTTTTTAAAATAAAGTACAATTGTACCATTATAAAAATACATACAAAAATATGAATACCATAATGACCTAAACCATTCCAATAATGCAAAAGCATAATTGAAATATTGAATCTTGTTCTAAATAATTAAAAGAAGATTACTTAAACGTTAAAAAATTATTAAAAAAAAAAAAACTTAACCTAATTTTTTTAAAAAAAATTCAAGAAAATGATTTTCAAGGTGCCTGATTTAAAATCTTTGATACTCAACTTTGAATGCTATGTATTTAGTCGGGCTAATTATTTGACCAAAGTTTATGTTAAGTTTTACATTGTATTTTTTTAACATATTCGTAATATATGTTTAATAATTATGTCAACTCGGATTGGGATGAAGTTTGAACCTAAAACCTTTCTTATAGAAATTAATGAGTAAGTTAAGAATAATAAGTAATTAACAGAATATTTTGTCACTAAAGTTTATTATAACGGAATGTGGAGTTATTTAAGAGAAGAAAATAATATAATAGAAGGTAAATAATGAAAATAATAAAAAAAATACTAAAATCAAAATAATATGAACCACTAATTTCAATAAACAATTACACCATCATTTTTTTATTCCTGTTAAGGGCCTAACATTATTGACTCTTATTAGATTTGTAGATATGATAGTGATAAATAATTACGTAACATTCTATATTTCATGTTGTGAGTGAATCGAATATCTACTAAATCTACTATATTATATATATATATTGATAAGAGTTAATAAAGCTAAGCTTATAACAAGAACTAAAAAAATGTTTGTCTAATTATTTGATAAAATAGATAGTTCATATTATTTTGATTTTATAATTTTTTTTCTACATTACCTCTATTATACTACACAATACAATACAACTCTTAATATATTAAAAATATATTATTCGTGTAATAGATATACATTATTTAATAATATGGTTCGTAGAGTTGTGACTGCTCCAAGGACCTTAAATACTACTCCGTACAAGTATAAAACAATAGCCAAAGTAAGTCCAATTTCACAATACTTGATGAGACAAGAGACTTGATTGCCAGCCCCAATACCCCTTCTCCAAGCCCAAGCCAAGCCATTACTTCAATTCTCTCCTAGCCCACTAATCCTCCCTCAGCCAAGAGTTGTTATGCACAATGGTTATGCCATGGAACGGATGGTGAATATGGTCCCAAATCGTAATGGTGCCTACAGCCACCGTTATTTTCTACCAATCTTTTTTTTTTTTTAATTAACAGCGCGATTTTTCTTCTTCATATTCACATTTTGCGATTTCACTTTCTCTTCGCGCAAATTTCTTCAACACTCATAAATTATGAAATGTGCAGGCATGGATTTATGAATGTGCAGTTATGAAATTATAAATTTTCTTTTTTTTTTTGAAAAAAAAAAATTCTGTTATAAAATTATGAATTTTCTGTTATAAGATTATGAATGTACATAACATTCATAATTACATAACTGTAAATTCATAATCTCATAACAGAAAATTCATAATTTAATAAATGTAAATTCATAATCTGAACATAGAATGCAAAACGTCGTTAACAGCACATTAACTATTTTTTTCGGGTAAAAACGATGCCGGTTGGCACCGTGTTCACCAAGCATGGTGAACACGTTTCCACGGCATAATTTGCCGCCTATACAAGGCTGAAGACGAGAGTTATGCCGTGGACCCAATTTCACCTTTTAAGGTGAATCCGGATTAAAAAACACAATTTATATATTGAATGTTCATAATTTAAATATTGAATGTTCATAATTTAAGTATTGAACATTCAGTATGTAAATTGTGACATTCAGTATATAAATCGTATATATTTAGACATGAATCCACCTTGCAAGGTGGACTCGACCAGGTCTACAATAATTTGCCGGCTTAAGAAGCACCATTACTCATGTTGTGCAAAAATAAGTGTTCAATATATTTATATAACATTCAAATGATAATTATATTGAAGAGTTATTAACCATTCTCGAAATGTTTTTGAATGTGTGATTAAAATTAAAACAAATGTAATTAAAAATGTAGTGTTTCTAAGGGTGTACAAATATGAGAACATCTTATGAATTCGTAAAGTTTTTTTTTTTTTTCCCTCCTATTTACATTTTAGGGTATCTTTAAATTTTTTGAGTTTTTACTGGTGACTATGAAAGAAAAAATGGGAGGGAAGTGAAAAAAATAAAAAATAATTTTTTATTTTTTTAAAAAAGTACAAATTTACGCGTGTAATTCGGGAGTTTTTGTAGTTTTTTTTTTTTTTTTTTTTTTTTGGTCTGAGGCCCACAGATATATGATAAAAATCAGCTCCTAAATCTTTTTTTTTTTTTTTTTCATATAATATATGTTCTCAAGAGCATCCCCAATAAGGGGATCTCCACCACATTTTAGAATAATAAAATTTCTTGGGGTAAATTTTGACAAATAGGTGGGGGGAAATCGTTGCTTTTGGAGCAAAAGCAGCGGTTTGGAGCAAACCGTTGCTTAACCAAAAACAGTGGATCTGCTAAAAAAATGGCGAATCCGCTATTAACCAAACATGGCCAAAATGGTGGATTCACAAAAAGTTGTGAAAAATTTAAAACTAATGAGAAGAATAGATTTTGTGATTGAGTAAGATAATGGATAATGATGTGAATGTAGGAGCTCATAAAAATCTGGGGTAAAAAACTCAACTATTGAGGATGCCCAAAAAACTGACCAAACTCTATTGATGAAATAAAGTTGGACTTTTCCATTACTTTATTACTTCTGCAAATGGTAAACTTGTATCATTGGCCAGTTTAAACTCTAAAAAATCACTTGTCATCTAAACTGATATAGCTTGTAATCAAGCTTCAAATCTGGCCGCCACCACTGGCTGAGCTTGTGTGCCGCCACTAAATCCGGCGAATGGTTCAAGTTTATCGTAAGATAAGCAGAAGGAATGAGGTGTGACGGCTCGGAATCCTTCCCGCTTGCACTCATAATCATGCTCCTTACTGAGTTCCTCGCCGCAAACCGCCCAATTTCTCCGGCCCCGGCCGCCACCGTCGTCTCTCTGTCCTTGAAGTAATCCAGGTATTCAGCGCAAATGGGATCAGACGGGTTGATAAACAAGTACGGAATCCATGGGAACAGCAAGGTGAAAGCTTCATCGTCTTCTGCGATTTTCTTGTTGTGGACCACAGTACTCATCGCGACGGCCATTCCGGCTTTGACGACGGTGTGGGCTAAACGAAGCCCATGCCGGAGTTTCTCGTTCTTGATTATATGTACCGGCAGAGACACGAACGGGGGATTGAACAGATAGGTTTCCAAATGGTGACCCATTTTCAGTACCATGTTTCTCCCGACCAGCAATGCGATTGCGGATCCTAAGGAATGCCCGGCCAACCAGACATCCTTGGCGCCGGCCATGGAAACGACAGCCTGGACCGCCTGAAATCCGACGTGGGCGCGGGAGCTGTTGTGGAGGGTGTTGTCGATGCACTGGACATCGAGTCGGAGATCCGACTTAGTGAGCGTTCCCCGGAACGCAATCACGTGTTTCGGCGGACTCCCGCCGCCGCCGCCGCCGGACGGCAGGTGGTGCTGCTTGGAAGAAATGTGCGGCGAGAATTCCAGGTCGTATATAGCGCCGAAGATTGTCTGATCTTCCTGATCTACCAGCACCTGCCTTAACTGGAACCCGAAGAATTCCCACCAGGAAGAATCAGGAGCGCCGCCGCCGCAGTGGCGGTCTCTTTCGAGATTGTACGCTCCTTGCACTAAGCACGCTGCGACGGAGCTCCGGTGACTGGAGTTGCTCCTGCAACAACACAGCAATAGAAGAAATGAGCTGAAAATGTAGCTGAAAGCTGGAAAGTTATAAGCTAGAAGCTGAAAACCAAAAATATAAGTTATAAGTTTCTAAATAAGCTCTGTCAAACATATCCTTAACGTACCAATCAACAGCGCTAAGATGTAAAGGCCCGACGTCTTTGAAAATTCCTCTCTCCCACGCCATGGATTTCAGAGCTCCCTTCTTAATTACCTCCTCACCGGATCGGAGACGAGGACTCTGTCACATACATATACAGTAGATTACAACTAAGCTCTGGTCTGGGAAGAAGACGATTATATACCCGGTCAAGGGGTTACGCGTTTTACGTTGACTCTCACTCTCAGTCTCACCAATATATGGAGTTATTGAAACGTTCAAATTAAAGTGTACAAGTTGGGTGCGATCAGAAGTGCAAAGTCAATGCTTGGTTAGGGTTTAGCTGCTTGGCATTAAAACCGGTAGGTCAAAATGAAAAGTCTAAATATATAATATAATTTTTAAAAATTACAACTTAAGTCCAATTTTGATCAAGTTTAACAAATAAGTGTGACATTATTAGTGCATAATTAGAGCAACTCAACGATTCAATCAAGTATTGATAAATAGCTTATCAACAAACCCCATTATTATTAGGTTTTGGTCACACGCAAGAACGATAACAACTGTGGTCTCCAGAACAAACAAAAAAAAAAAAAAAAAATGTCCGGTTGTTAATTTGAGACTAACGAAGTAATGAGCAGTGAAAAGGGAATTCATAGCTGCAAACAATGGTGATGCAGAAATTTTTGAGACGGTTCGTTCAGAAAAACCAACAAATCCGTCATGAACAGAAGAATGGTCAACCATAGAAGAAAAATCCGTCATGAATAGAAGAATGGTCACTCATAGAAAAAACCTAGCTAAATGATACCATATTTGAACTGAATATTCTAAAATTAATCTCACATAATACAACAGAATAAATACAATACAAGAATTACAATAAGACTAGAATACGACCTAATCTTACTCCAATACATTGAGTTCCAATAGGTAACTACGTATTTGTTTAAACTAACAGTACAATTTTAGAAAGGCCACTTGATAATAGAATAAGTGGCAACTAAAACAAAGTTGATGAATTCTTACCTATTTTCTTGAAAGTCAACACTAACACCTAGATCGGAGCATCGTGCAACTTGCATAAATTTTAACGAAAACCCCACAAGATTAATAACCAGAGCTACCATAAGGAGCCATCATGCAGATGTATAGTATAGCTAGGTAGGTGGCAACTAATTAATATTCCCTTGGTGGTTGATTAAACAAAATACTAATACTATATATATATATATATATATATATATATATATATATATATATATATATGTATGTATCTATTGCGGGAACGATTTCCCAAACCCTATGAGCACATTGAACTATATATATATCGCTGTGGTTAAAAGTCTTCATATATATCATAATGTAATTAAAGGTGCACTCTAAGCTAGCCTCTAGCTAAACTAATACGGAGTAACTTATTGTGTGACTAGCTATACCAAAAGCAAGAGAAATCCCAGCTCTCTCTTTTCTTTTTTGTTCCATGTCAAAGAGAAGGACGAGATAAGTAGGATTGTTAAAGTGGGTTGAAGTCTGCGAATTGACTCACATCTACTCCATGATAGGACAAATTAGGGCTACAAAAAAATTGACGGTTGAACTTGTCAACCTACTTAGAGCGGACTAGAATTGCATGAACTCTAGTCCGCGGGCCTAACAACCTGACCAGCAAAAATTCATTCAAAATTAGGCCCGTTATGGGGCGGGATGGGACGGGCCGCTTTGACCAGGGATGTAAAAAAGGAATTCTATTAACTACTTGTTCTGATCAATCTAGGATAAGCTTCTTGAGATTGGTTATACTTCGCCGTTAATAAATGAAAGAAGGGATATGATCTCCATGCATGTTTAACTGAGAAGCTCTTTAGATCGATGGAACAAATTAAAAGATGTATGTATGTATATATAAGAGAGAGAGAGAGAGAGCTAATAAACCTGATGATTATGATATCACAGTGCATCAAGGTAGCTGAGAGATGAGAAACAAACCATCTACGTACGGCGGCATTATCGATCATCGGTCTATACTAATAAGAGAATGTGGATGAGGGCATGCGGTGGCAACCGCCACCACCTCCACCGTCCTCCGCCGCCGAAGGCTCGGACGAAGAGATGGCTGCGCAGTGCAGCGGTGGATCGGAGGGGCATTTGAGATTAATGGGCAAAAGGTGGTTGAAGGATCGATGTGGAGACGCTACCGTTCCGGCCTTGAGATCAATGGAAATACACTACGATATGCTGTTTTCTCACCAATATGTGGTTACGCACGTGCACTATGGTGGAACTGGACAAAACCATAGTTGGTTAAAGTAATATGGAGGTGCGGGGAATCGAACCCCGTGCCTCTCGCATGCGAAGCGAGCGCTCTACCATATGAGCTACACCCCCTGATGGGTTTTGGATTCTACATAATTATACAAATCTAATATATTCAGCGTGTTCTTCATGGCAATCAATTCACCAAGATGATCATGTTCATGGCACGTGCCGTGATGTGAACGTCTGAATAGTTCAAGCATGGTTTGGTCTTGCCCTTCTAGTTCCAGCTTCACAAGACAAAAAGATATAAAATTCACCCTGAGGTTAATTTGTGGTCAGATCAATAATTAACTTAAATCTCACTTTTAAAGACGTACAATATTTTAAACTTCACTGAGAACTTGAGACATAAATTATATCACATAATAGATCAAGGTGCCAACCAATAAGTTGGGTTACAAGTGTGTACACGCTGGGTTGAACCAAGACAAACATGATTAGATGGTGAAGTAAAACCATTAACAAAATGTTAAATTTGACAGTGTTCATTTTTAACAAGTAAAAAAATGACATATGAACACTCTTATTTTATCTATAACAAAGAAAGGGAGTAATATAAATCATGAATCATTTTTTTTTTAACAAATCAAAATATGTCACGTAAACATGAAATAAATTAAAATTGATGATATATGTCATATCAGAATACTTCAAGTAATTCTCCAATCGATGAAATGTCTGAAATCACTTGAGTAACTTGAAATTTAGAATATTGTATGCAGAGATGAAACATCTAAAAATATAATTAAGAGTATGGTAGTGTAAAGAGCAAACCATTCCAAATTAAAGGAGGAGTCCACCAACCCAAGCCTGGCCCGCACGGACATCACCATTCACCACAAACTAAATCATATGACGACACGTCCCGCAAACGACCGCGCCTATCAACTTGGAATGTCCGATCCGGTGTGTCCCTCTCCACAAAAAGTGGAATAAGGTTGTCACTTGTCACATTATCAATATCGTCTTATTCCGGGCCGGGCAGTTTCTTCCTGTATATTCCATCCGGAATTTTTTTTTTTTTTTTCCAGAAACCCCGATGTGGATTACTTAGAAAAATCACTATCGTAATATTATGGGTGTTTGGTAAATAGTTGTTACTTGTTGACTGATTGAATTAAAGTAGTTGATAGCAGTAGTTGGTTGTAGAAAAATGTTTAGTAAATTAACTGTTAGCTTATAACTGATTACATGCAAAATAAATTTATCAAAAAGTTGATCAAAAAAGTTACTTTGAGTAACTTTTTGAATTTTAACATTTCGAAGCAGTAAGTTATTACAAAAATTTAATTAATCAAACACTCATATTGATTGTTTAAACAAGTCAAACAACTAATAATTCAAATAAGCTAAAATTGACTGATAAACTAATTATGTTACTCTACTTTTCCTGTTGCTTCAAAAAACTAACTATGTTACCAAACAGGACCATTAACTTATGATTATTTCTAGATAATAAATATACGTTTGAATTTTATCACCCTATCCCGACAGATAAAAAATTCATCCTACATTTTCATTTTATTTTTTTTAAGCAATGAGACAATTTGCAAATTGCAATCAAAGGCTTTGGACCGTGCGAAGGTTAACAATTTGGGCCACCTAACGTGGTGCTTGGCCTTGGTGTCAATTATTAGTCTTTATAAGACTCAAATTGAAAAGGATGGATAGCGACCACAGTTATAAACATTCGATTAATGTTAATTAATAGTTTACTTTGTTAACTCCTTATAACATACACTAATTAGGTATAAAAAAAAATACCCGAAAGACCAAAACAAATGAAAAGAGATCGGGGTCGATCGTTAGCAGTTGACAAGGAACTTGATCCTACCAAAGGGTTAGCAGTTGAAGGTTGCAACTAACTGGTAAAGAAGCCAATTGCTATAATTGAATTTATTCTCTATAAGCATGGATGTGCAATTAAGATATGTCACAGCCTCTCGACCTCTCACTTGCACTCATCAACTATGTTCATTAGGTGGCCACACGAGATACATTACTTTCGTTTAACTAGCTGTCTACCAATTTTGAGCCAACCTCAACAATGATTAAAAAACTAATTATACTTCAATAGAATTGTTTGCAAAACATTAATGGCCTCTTTAATATGAAGTGATAGGAATACATTTGATAGGTTGGAGTTACAATGATTTTAAATTAAATTTTCGAAAATAATATTATAATAATAATAATAATAATAATATTGTCTGAGGTTAAGGTAGTATTATTGGTCAATCACAAAGTTGTCTTCATGTAATCAAACATCCTCGATTGGAACAGGACAATTAACAGAACTACGATTTCATTGGCAACCATAAATCATGATTAGATTGTCATTTAGGCTTCTGTCCATTGTTAATTGGGTTTGATAGTCATAAAATACTTCATTAATCGATATGTGAAGGGACATTTAAGAAAGTGCGGTCCTATGATGTGAAATAGTGTAATGGATGCATTTTGTAATTCTTTTTTTTTTTTTTGAAATAAATACATTTTGCAATTCTATGTTGTGCACTTTGCAAAGTTTTGAGCACTTTTATATATTTTTAGATACATGGTCGTTTGGTTCACGGAATCTTGAATTACCTCAGATAATATGATTACTTTTAGAAAGTTATGTAAGACTAAAGAAATGTAAAATTAACAAATGTGTTTAATTCAAATTGTATGAATATAATATTAACTTTGTTTTGTTGGAGGTTATATTATATCAATTACATAAATCTCATCATAGAAAATGAAACGCGTATAAATAATTCAATTTTAAAAATGTTTTAGTTAATTTGCAAGTTTTTTTTCTCATAATTCAGAATTTAATTAGCTTGGGAACCTTCTTGATTAGTTCTGCATCACGCTCTAGAAATAACTTCTGAAGTAAATTCACATTCCAGTCCATGGCTTTTTGGTATATGAGTGAGTTAATTGTGATTCCTCTATCATTCTATGGAGCTGCAGTAAGGATAGATGAATTGAGAGTGTCAAAGCCAAGGGTCAGACCATACCTTCGTAAATCGTTTATGATTCTTCGACACACCCACGGGTCAGCAGAGTTTGTGCAGACAGGATCGACTTAACTTCAATTATCATATATAATCTTGTATTGATATACTTTAAAATATTTAATTAAATATAAATATTGAGCATTGGCTCGGCCATCCACACAATGCTCGTGTGAAACTAGTATTTCCCATATGAGTAATATAACTTTTTTTTCAAATTAACATTATAATTATAATATATTATCATAATTTTTAAAAATAATAATAAAGATGACCGGTTACTCGGTTAGTGAATGATTAGTACCATTAAATAATATTATTTAATTCACACTTTTTTTTTTAAATGTAATATGATTATATGAATTCAATTATATATACAACACCGTAAAAATTTTTGTATTTATTATTGATGGCGTCCCATATTGTGTGTTTATGCGCGCGTGAACGTGCAATTTTTTTTCTTTTTACCATTATATTATAGATTAGTTCTATCCTAATAATCGCCTTTTTTTTTCTTTTTGAAATAATAATCGCCTTTTTTTTTTCTTTTTGAAATAATAATCGCCTTTGGTTTTTCAAGTTACGTTGAAATTCTTTGGGATGAAAAGTATGCATTAATTAAGGGATGAGAGAAATGAAAATAATTAGTGCTTTCCTAAAAGCAGGCAATGCATGGTGGGAGCTGAGCTTTGAACTTTTGCCTAGCTGTTTACAAAAATATAATGAGTGGGGTGGGGGTGGGGACGAGGGTGAGGTAGGGGAATGTTTACGGTGTTGATCAACATCAGTGTTTTTTGAATGATGTAAATGTTAGTAATAAACAAGTTTTTTAAGCAGAAAACAAATAATGAAAATTGAAAAATTTTAAAAACAGAAGATTGAAAATAGTTTCCCATGAAGTTAGTAAACGATTTTTTTTTTTTTTTGAAGATTAGTAAACGGATTTTATCTGTCTCAAACTTTAACCATATGTGAAAATTAATAGTGTTTCAGTTGCCACTATCTCCAAAGTGCACATTTCTCCTCCTAATTTTCCCACCACTTAAAAGTAAACATAGAATATCCTCTTCCCCTTAATGCATTTTACATCACAAGTTGCAAAGTCCATATTCCCTCACTTTGAAATTAAAGCTATTTGACCTTAACTTACACTCTTCCTAAATTGGAATCCCCTAGCTTGCTATATACCCTATGGTGGTTTGATGTTTGGCCCTAAAATGACGACTAGCTTGACTTACTAAATTGATCCAATAAGATATTTGTATGCCTTAAAGTAGTGTTTTACTCGTGAAAACAATTGAAGTTTCAACAAACGTATAAGTTGAATATAATGATGCATTCCATGTTTCAACATGCACTTTTATATGGGTCACACACAACATTTACACATAATCATGATCTTTTGCATGAGTTAATACTAAATTGAATGATACGTTTCGTCTCAACTAAAAGTCTAAGTCGATAGTTGAACTGCACATTTATTATTTTTATATGTGTAGTATGCTCAACAATACAAATACACTGAAACATTCTATTTTGAATATAAGAATTGTGTTGTATATATGTATTTACAAAAATAAATAAATAAAAATTGAATGTACGTTATTGATCTACAATTTGACTGTCAACATGACATGATACATTTGATTCACGATAGTAAGATATAGAGAGATAATAACTACATACTCTCTTTGTTGAATTTACTAGTGTTGTCACGACTATATACTCATGGTGATTAGAGCAATCGATACACATTTCTTATTAATCATAGAATCTCAGCTCGTCAGAATTT